GCCCTTCAAATTATCCTGGATCTGCCCCTGCTTGCCAAGAAGGGGGAGTGGGCTAATTTTGAGCTGAGACACAAAGCATGCTGCACATAGCCTGGTATTTTCCAAAATTTTTCTTTCTTTTTTCTTGATAAACGATACATTGTACGGTGAGACGATCATTTAAATGCATCTTCAAATAAATTTTCAGTCTCTTTGGATTGTCTCTCCGATCAGTGTAGTTATGGCGCAAGTGGGGAACCCGCATGCGTAACATCCACGTCCACAGCAACAACCATCACGTGTCAATCCGGTGAACTTTGCTATACTAAGAGGCAGTACCTGAAGTGTAAGTAATATGTTGGCAGATTAAGTATATCTAGGTAAAAGGCCCTGTTCTAGTACAGCTGAGCGGGATATTTATACTGGTTGTTTGGAGATGTTGAACTTACGAGATTCTTATTCACAAATTATAGTTATGTTATAAAATGAAAATAAATACCATTTTAAGCGTTTCTTCTTCAAATGTGCTTTTAACCGTGCACGTATCATACATTTCCCCAATAAGGAAGCACCTTTTTGCAAGTAACAACTGTCGTATTGTTGCTATTTTTTTTCAAATGAAGGGATGTTCTCTTGACGAATTTTTGCCTTTATATCCAGGGCATTTTAGTAAAAATAACAGCCATGTTGTGAATATATTTAAATAAAAGTGACGTATTTTGTTTTGTCTTATTTCTAAAAGCATATAAAAGCAAAATATATAAATCAATGTTAAGATACAATTTTATATTGGCACCGTTCACGTTTCAGCCCCGGGTTACATCTATTACTTTGAGAGGAAGTGTAAAGCTGATGTGGGCCGCAGCTGCACGGAGGACATCCACTACTACACGTGTGAGGAATCCTGCAGCACCAGTAACTGTAATAATGGGAACGGTGTTCCTAGTGGATACGACCCTCTACCGTCATCTACAACTACTACGACAAGTGCCCCTGGCGTGTCTACTTCCACCAGCAATCCAGGCATGAGTTGTCTTTATAATTTTTGTCTATTACTTTGCAAAATTGCGTTTTCTTTTATCCATTTATTCGTTTGTCTTTTTTTTTTCAATTTATTTTTTAAAGATATAAATAATATAATTTTTCGTAATTAGAAATCCTCGGTGATATTTCAGGTCGCCAGTGCTACAGTTGTTCTTACGTGCAGTCCGCTGATGCTTCGGCCACCTACGAGTGTGTGGACGGCGTGACCACAAGTCGAGCCATTACGTGTTCATCTGATAGAATATGTGTGGTCAAACGGGTCACTTCTCTCGGTAGGTTGACCAGCAATATAGCATTTTACATATTTCAAAAAAGTTTTTTTTAAATGGTGTTTTAGTAGCTAAAATTAAATTCTTATTCAGCGTGACTTTGACCATTACACCCAAATGGCGTGCAATAATCGTAGACTGTTACAAGTGGAAAGTTGAATTGGTAGACTTAAGTTAAAGCTTTCATAGAGGGCAGGGACTCGCACAATTGTAATGTTCAAACAGACAATAAAGTATTTTCTTTCTTTCTTTTTGCTAGCTACGGACAGAGTTAATTCATTTGATCGTGGCTGTCTACCAACATCTTCCGTCACAGCAGGCTGCACTAAAGATGTCTACTTCAACACATGCACGACCACGTGTTCTGGACATTTGTGCAACACAGGGACTGGAATACCGGACAGCGAAACTACAACAACTGGTCGGTCCGGTGGCGGTAGTTTGAAGAGCAGTCCATTCTTGTTTTTAGTTTTGCTCAGCTGTATTTTGTCACGCGTACAAATGTCCTGACGTGTAGACGTGTAGTGCGTTGGCTGACCTGCAATAACCCTGCCGAGCAACCTTGTTTGCAGATCATCTGAGATGGCTTACATGTAAATACGCAAACGCATTCAGCTTGGCTTTTTTTTTAAATGTCAAAAACTAGTGTCCCATGGATTTTAGTAACCCTAGTTGATCATTGCATCGGCACTGTTATTAAAGATATTTGTGACATTTTAATGCTTTTAATTTATTTTTGATTGTCGTTGTAGTTTTGTTTATGAAAAAACTTCGTTTTTTACACAATCGTAAATATATATTCTGAGCAACATAATACAGATGCACAAATACATGTAGAGAACTTTGGAAATTAGAAACAAACTGATCCTTAGACTGTTCTGTTCTTATTTAATATATTGTATTATTTGTTGAAATGTACTGTATTTATTGTAATTTAATTACACTCACCGCTGCTGATAGCGTTACGCCTGAGTAATTGGACTTTGCATGAATACGAAGAATTGCAGACCATAACTCTGTAGCGCGCAGAATGTTGTTCCCACCCTCCTAGCTTTGAATTTTTATTAATGTTGGGTTATGGCGGAAAGGGGGTTTTAATGAAAAAAATGTGGACTTTTTAATAGGAAAGACTTTTAGGGCGACTAATTATGAATAAATTATATGATGAATGTTTTTATTTCACAATATAGATAACGATTGAAATTCGAAAACGACGTTTTTTGTGGCAATAGCAATATGCATTAAAACGAATTGACATTTGTTAATTAAGTGTACTTTCATTTGATGAAAATGTTAGTGTGAATTCCTATTAAGAACATTTTCATAGCTTGTTTATACGAATTGGCTTTTGTAGTACTGTACAGTTATTTGCCTTGCTTCCATAGCAAGTGTTTTGCCTGCTATCAATAGTTCGATATATTCTGCATTTTTATCCGCTTCACCCTATTTGAATGAGCCGTCTGAATATTTCTAGGGTGTTAATACACGTTTTGGCAATTGAACTGAACCCTCTACAGTATTTGTATCAGTTATAAACCTCACCTATTGTATTATAAACTCCTCAAACCCCATTAAATCATTTTTATACAGACATATTTACCGAAATTACCTACAAAACCTATTCCAGGCTCATATTCTATGAATAAATCGGTCTGTTTGTTAATTTTCCTAAAATGCCTCAAATTTGACCTCATTTGATTCCATTTTACGCAGACGTGATTCATAGTTACAAATTTCATTACTTTTATGTTTAAACCTTTAGCTACTTAATGGTATATAAAGAATTGTTCTTACTTATTAAGATCTTATTCTATAACTAACCACTAAACTATAAATGCTTTCTTTTTTTCTACCCCCATTTATCTGTAATCCAACCAAGCTTCGCCTGCAGTTCAGTGCTTTTGTCATTCATAAAACTTTCACATTGTAAAATAAACTGTCAAAATTCCATAAAATATATGTAATAAAGATGGGCTTCATCACAAATTATTCAAATCATAGTATTGGCTGATATTATCTGAATAAATATCTTTTACTGGTCAGTTTTCATGAAAAAGCCCCACATCTTACCTCATTTATCCCATTTTACGTCGACATCATTCGACATCATATACATGTAACTTTTAACTCGTATGTTTAAATTAATCGTTCAGCTACAAAGTGCTATAAAAGAAAAGATATAACCTACAGTGTACTCAGATTCAATTATATACATGTAAATCGATTTCCTTACAAAACATCCCTACTTGTCTTTATATAAAAATGCATGAAGCAGAAGGTAAGCTTATTTGCGCATGCTTAAAACAACCCCCAAGGTTATACAGATATAATTTGCGATCCCCTTGATTTGAGCAGTGGCTTGGCGTGTAGGTCAAAATTATCATATGGGTACGCAGTAATTTATTTATATATGTATGTAATTAATTTTTTTTTTAACTTTGCTGCTAATTTAGTTGTGTAACGATGTACTTGTAGTAGTTTTATGTCTATGTCCACGATTGCACCTTTATGCATGAAGGTATATAACAGTAAACGTGCATCTGAATCTGAATCCTTCCCTACCCTCCTTTTCTCGGCAATTTAACAAAACAGTACCTGTATCAGCCATAAATCTCACCTAATGCACAATCAAATCGGAAGTCCAAAAACAAATCTTTGAAATTTATATGAAATTTACCAAACACACCCAAGGAAACATTATTTTAGCTCAAATTGTCTTAATAAGTAAACGTAATTTTTATATTTATTTAGATAATTTGCAAATAAAGCAATTTTGACCTCACTGTACCCTTAACGTCGTTATACGAATGCATGATTCAATATTACGTAACGTATATTGCTTATACGTTTAGAGCTACCCTTGAGATACAAAAGATGTAGAAAAACATTTTTATATGTTATACAAATTACAAAGTATGAATTATTTTCTTCCCCTACCTCCATTTTTTAAAATGTACCCATTTAAGCCACGAGTCTCAAAGGAGCGTTATTCGCTTAGGAAACAGCTAAAAAAATTAGACATCAAAAATTAGGAAAATGTATGTTCCCATTGCTTGTCACGGGGCTGCACGTAGCAACTCTGTTCCCACCAGACTGCAAAAGGCAGCCAACTAACTGTAAATTAAGCTTCATCTGGAAAAATTTCTCTCTGCCAGCAGCGTCCGCCAGTAGACTGTTGCAAAATACTTGATTTTTTGTACTATTTGAGAGGTCTCTGACATCAGAGCGTGCCAGAAAGGCACTCACAGGGTGCATACCTTCGCCAACAACTCAATTCTCATTGTCATTTAAGTTATTCATTAACTTAGTTCTCATTATAATTAATTAGTTATCATAATCTAATTTATTTAAAGATGCATACAAAGTCAATTTTTGTCACAAAAACCGACCAAATGCCAGCATATAGTTGCAAGTAGTATAACTAAGAGAATAACCAAAAGGCATTCTTTAATTTTACCTGAAAATGATGTTTGAACGGATGTTTCTGCTAGCATTCTATGCTGTATGTCAATGGGGCAGAAAAGTAGGTCACGAAAGTAGGTTAAATTTCCGACCAAATATTTAAAGAAAGGAGCAGTCTAAAGCTCTTTTATGGCTGATCAAGTGATCTATTCAATTTAACCCTTGGCATGTCGAATTTATTTGTGTCATATAAGAAACTAGTAGAAGTGGTTTACATGTGTTACTGGGAATCCACGCTTCGGTTCGTATGTACCTTTAATAATAAATAATAAATTGATTATCTAATTGACTACTTACACGGTATTTAACTCGACACTTAATTACCACCCGATTACAACCCATTTCTGACCTACCCTGAAAGTTTCATCAAAATTCTTTGCATAATGTCGCTGATGGGCAGACAGACAAATAATCATTAAACTTTACCATCAATTGATGGATAATATTATCCCAGGGTTAAAACTCTAGTGTCCACATTCCAGATCGCCAGTGCTTCATTTGTTCTTATGTCCTGACCTCGGACTCTTCGATCAATTACGAGTGTGTGGACGGCGTGTCCAAAAGTCAAGCCATTACGTGTCCATCTGATAGAACATGCGTAGTCAAACGGGTCAATTTACCAGGTAGGTTGACGAGAGATATCGCAGTTTTACATATTTTCAAAAACCCAATGTATGTAATGGTAAACTAGCTAAACTTCAAATTATGCCAACCAACTAGAAGAGGCAAGTTTAAGATGGATTTGTATGCTTAGAAAGTCAACGTAACATCACAATATAAATGTATTTTAATGTATTTTAGGTTATAATGTTTCAACTTTTTCAGCTACGAACAAAGTTATTTCATTTGCACGTGGCTGTCTACCTACGTCTTCCGTCACAGCAGGATGCACTAAAGATGTCCATTTTAACACGTGTACAACCACGTGTTCTGGACATCTGTGCAACACAGGGACTGGAATGCCGGACAGCGGAACTACAAGAGATCGTCGGTCTAGTGTCGGTAATTTGGAGCAGTCAATTCTTGTTTTAAATCTGCTAAGCTGTATTTTGTTGGGCGTGCCAAAAGTATAGTGTGGTTGAGGGAATGAATGAGGTTGAAAGCTTGCCATGGCTTTCTTAACTGTTAACTCGAGAAGGTATTCATTCAGTTGTTCTTTTGAATACCAGAAACAAGTTAGCCATGGGTTTCAGCAAATGAAGTTAAAAGCATATGATTATTATATCATCGAGATTAGGAATATTAGTTATTAATGCTATCTTATGAATTTTTAGATAACCATATACATTGTATTTAAAGTGTCGTGATACAGAGGCACATACCGTAAAAAAATGTGTATCTAACTTTCCCAGTTATAGTAAGACAATGCACCAACCATTTGTTCCTTTTTGAAATTTTTCCAGGAAAGGAATTCTGTGGGAATAACAAGGGTATTTATGGATGGGGTCAAATTTCATTTTCACAAATCATGCAAATGGAGTGACGAAATTTAAAGTTTGAAGTTTAAGCAAGTCTTGACAATAAACAGTAAAAACCTTTATTTTAGTTATACAGTATGTAAGCTACAGGAAAATAAAGCCTTGGGGTTTTTCAGTATCAGTATTGAGGGAAGCATACACCGTTTGTTGTCAAGACTTGCGCAAGCTTTATCATGGTAATGCAAATGGAGTGACAAAGTTTTAGCAAGTCTTGACAATAAACAGTAAAAGGAAAATAGTACCGACGGAAATAAAATGAAATGTTAGGAGTATTGTTAAATTATTATCTTTGTCTATCAAAAAGAGATGCAGCGGTTGGATAAAAGTTTTTTAAAAACCGTTTGCTTCCTCTAAAAATAAAAATCTACATTTGCTTTGGAGGAATTTAAGAAGTTCACTAGCAGGGTTAGTGGTATCGTTCATAATCTTATCGGTTTTGGAAGCTACCCTTACCATGTAAATGCTTCTAAGAAAGGAAAGACGCAAACCCATCCCCACGATTCTTCTGCACGTCTATCAATTTATTTGTAAGTTTATATGCACACTTTTTAGATACAAAAAAATATATGTTTTCGTTTATTATAAGAGTAAAGGATTAAATTCAAGAGTCATCATTCCAGATCGCTACTGCTACAGTTGTTCTTACGTCCAGTCCGCTGACCCTTCGGTCGGTTACGAGTGTGTGGACGGCGTGACCACAAGTCGAGCCATTGCGTGCCCATCTAATCAAATATGCATGGTCAGACGGGTCACTTCACTGGGTAGGTTGGCAATCGATATCGCAGTTTTACATATATAAAAAACACGATGGCTTTTTCGTAGACCCAGCTAAAAACCGAATTCTGCCAGCAGAATATTTGTACATTCAACGTGATTTTGACCAGTTCATTTAAAGGGAGTGTAATACATGTACTCGTCTGTTGTTAAAATTCATATCACTAAATTAATAACCTGCTCGTTATATTTATTTTTTCACAAATGAATTTAATAATTAGATTTTTTCTTTTCTTAGCTACGAACAAAGTTAATTCATTTCTACGTGGTTGCCTACCTGTGTCTGGGTTGTCAGCAGGCTGCGTTAAAGATGTCAACTTTAATGAGTGTACAACCATTTGTTCTGGACATTTGTGCAACACAGGGACTGGAATACCGGACAGCGGAACTACAACAACTGGTCGGTCTGGTGGCGGAGGTTTGAAGAGCAGTCCATTCTTGTTTTTATCTCTGCTAGGTCGTGTTTCTTTGGGCTTTCTTATGCCTTGATGTTATGGGACAGGAGTTTGTTTGTGGAATGACTTTTATCCGAGCTTTTAAGTTGAACACTTAAGTAGTATTGTAATTGCTCTAGAGATATCAAAAGGGTTTCAGCATTTATAGTTTGAAAAGCATGTGATTATTGACTAGGAACTACTATTCGAAACATAACCAAGATTAGTTATTATCGCTTTTTAGTTTGTTTTCGTTTCCGTCGTATTTTAATAGTTTGTGTGAAAAAGTTTTGAAAAAATAATTGTAGATATATATATATATATATATATATATATACATACAGGCCCGTAGCCAGAGGGGGTTCGGGGGGTTCGAAGGAACCGCCCCTTTTGCTGGGAAAAGGTCCACTCTTGGTAAAATTTGATCTAGGTACATGGTGTTTTTATGGAAAAAGGTCCACTTTTTCAAAAAAAGAACCCCCCTTATGAAATTGCTGGCGACGGGCCTGATATATATATATATATATATATATATATTGTACCTTTAATTAAACTGTATTCATTGGCAAGATGACATTTTTAATCGTATCAAAATCGTAGGTGCAATCGGCAATTCTTTTAATTGAATCCTAATATTCGTGAGGTATTCCTAAGTCTTTCTTGCAATTTGTAACTGTTTCTTGACAACATCCGTGCTGTTCAAGCAGATTCCTATGAATATACCCGGTATACTTACAAATAAGTCTATCTACAGGAAATTTTAACTGAATCCAACAGGTTCAAGATTTCTACCAGAAGCACACAAAAATCCACAATATCCAAAATCTGTCAATCCATGGTCGGTGTGGAATAAGGGGTTAGTGCTCATTTGATGTGCAGACAGGAATGAATGTTCGTTTGGAGAATTTTTGTTGCTTGTAGAAGTGAGTTTGCTTGTGTAGTGATGTACAGCCGTTAGTTCTCATCGTTTTAATTTTAAACGCCATTAAGTTTTGGGCACTTTATGCTGATCCGTTTCGGACTATAATATTTGAAATATTGTTTATTCGGATGTTATTAAGGCACTTCACAGTATTCGAATAAAGCTTGCTATTTACTTCGAAAAATAGAAATATCTGTCTTTGTAATGTGTACATATTATTCAAAGCATTTGATACGGATATTGATTACGTACCCGGTAGATTAAAGTTTATCCAGTGGTTGTAATGTATGTCTCTTCAGTATCTTACCAAACAAACCAATGTCAGTATGAACTTTTTTATGACTGAGATATTGTTTCTTATAGTTTCTAACATTTATTTTTGCCGAATATAATCCTGTTCTCATCAGTATGAAAAATGAGTAAGCCATTGCATAGTTCCCAGGGGCGGATCCAGGATTATTTGAAGGGGGGTCCGGAAAGACAGGCCTCGGATGCGAAGCTGACCATCGACCCCTTGGTCTAGTCTGGGGTTCGGGGCCTGCTTAAGGGCTCAAATCTTGGGTGTTTTGCAGAGCAAACAGTGCCCTTTGGTACGGTTTAACTAGTCAAAATTCTACTTTCAAGAGAGGTTCCAATGTACCTTACCATTAACAAAGAGATATGGCAGTAGTGTCTGGTTAACATTTTTAAGGTTAAAACCAAATGAACGCCAATATACATTCGACCAAAAAAGTTCGGAAACATGAATTTTTTTCAGTGATTAAAAAGCTATGGAATATGTCATGGAAAATCTTCAGTGTATATTAATATATGGTTAAAATATTTATCTCGCCTCATATGGTTATTTTATAATTATTCAAAATGCCATTTTCCCAATTTTTTTTCGTCTAGTGTAAATTCCATGTCATGAAAAAGGGATATCACTAAATTAAAATATACATTGCATTTTATTACATCTAGTAAATAATGATATAATCAAATTCCTTCATGATGCACTTTGTCCTTTTAACTTTTAAGTAGGGAGCCAAGACTTTTTGCTCTCTACTTCTCAACTGATCACTTCTAAAATCATAATATGCAATTGTCATTAATTAACACAATACATTAAATGATATTGATTGTAAATGCCTGTATCTCTCGAAAACACAGCACCATTGGTTTTAATTCCTTGACTTTAAAATAAAGATCAATTCTAATCGTTAAAATGGTTGTTAGAAAATAATTAAATCAATTTGCCTAAAGACATACGGTACAGTGCACGTGGTGAAGATAAAATGCAAATTGCGTATGTCCCATAACGCGCACAACGTTCCATTTGCATCACAGGCAGCTTATTTCTCTAGGTTAAAAGCGATATAAAACAATAAAAATGTTGAAAAATACGTGTTTGATTCAAACACCCAATCACAGTCCGGTTTGAAAATGAAGCACTATAGCGTTTCCAGTTTCAAAGCTGCGTCACAGTTATTTGACTGAACCAGTCAGTATAGGTTTCTACAATCCTATGCAAGATTTAAGACGTCCGTACAACAGCGGATCACGTACAGTGCCATTCACGAAAGTTGCTTCCTGCATGGTTCCATTTTATTATTCAGCAGTCATATGTCTTTTTTCGAATTGGCACTCTGATTTCATATTTCCTATAACTGACTGTTTTATTATTCAAGCAAATATCCCCAACTGTTCTTTATCTTAAGACCTAACATTGCGAAGAACTAAGCCGTATGAGTCTCCGTAGTACTTTGAGGTACATAGACATACTTCAATTTATCAATCTCCTTATAAATCTTCTCAAACGACAGTTCTCGCTGAATACGGTCGCCATTCTGCGCCAATGCAATATCTTGTTTCGATTTCCTGTTACTTTTCATTGCCTTAGACACGTGACTCAATACCTTGGCGTAGTTCGTAAGGGAATCTAGCGATGGGACCGGTGGATAGCCTGCGTACGAGTCGGAATAAAGCATGGCTGATTCGCTAGGAAGAGGTTCAGTCGCTTTATTGCCCTCTGTATCTGTTTGTTTTGGCGGTTCTGGTTTAGCTGACATTTGTTCCTTTTTAGGGGCATTGCCAGATTTGCCACCTTGGTTCTTATGGCTTGGTTCAGACTTTTGGCCATCAGCTTTTTTATTATTGGCCACGCTAGTTGGTGATGTTGTGTGTGGATGGCGTGGCTGCTCTACCCTACTCTGTCCAATCAGAGCATCTGGTCCGCCAGTTTGGTATTTAAGGTCGCGAGCGTCGTTTCCTGTAGATTGTAAATCAGCCTTTGGTACCTCAGAAGCGACGGCATTGGTCTTAGAAATGGCTGCCGGGTTTATATTTTGAACAGGATCCATTCCAGAATGTTCTAGTGGTGCGCTATCGACAATTGGCCTCCCTTGAACGGTTGGTATGTTGATGGGATTAGTTTTTTTAGGGGCCAAGGCCTGTGGTAAAACCGCTGGTATTGGTTGTGGTTCTATAGTTGAGTCTGATTTTGGATAAGATTGATTTGCACCGCGAGGTGAAGGGCCCATATGACTGAGATGCTCCGAAATGTTGCCTCCACTGTGAGTGGAAATGACGGGGTTGGACTCATTTGGTGCAACTGGCCCTGATCCACCTTGGAAAAGATTTGGGGAATTATTTGTTAACTGTTTTTGAACAAAGAAGTTACCCTGGTTATGAGACGAAAGCCGTTGTACATTGATCGGCTGCTTTTCTACCGACGTTGGACCCGGTGCAACTGCATCTAATCCCATGGTAGTTCCATCACCAGGTGTTAGTGTTTCCCCGTGTTGTACAGAGGTGATGCTACTCTGTCTTTGTGTGTTGATAATCGCAGATTCTAAAGTTCTTGGGGGAATTTGTGCCTCATTTAAAACAGCCGACACTTCTTTGGCGTAGGCAGATGGAGTGCTAGAATGAACAGCAGGCTGCTGTTGCGAATGGTACTTAGATTCTTGTACAGCTGTGGGGCTTTTGAGCTCTAAATAATTTTGATGGTGTGAAACTGGTATTGTAGCCTGGTTTACAATTATTGAACTTTGCACATTTTTCTGTGTAAAAGAATTCCCATTTTCTACATATTTACTGTGCTGATCTATAGAATTGTCCGCAATTATATGGGATACTTCTTCGTGTTGTAAGTTCTTTGTCTCTTCACCAAGCTCTTTCTCGCGCTTGCTAACCTGCACGTCAACGCCGTTGGTTTGTACGCCTATGTTGTTAACATGTATAACACCTGCCTGCGACTGCAGGGCTGCAGTGTCATAGTATATGCCATAAGAGTTTGTCTCCACCCCTTGAGTGGCTGGCACAGAGTCCACCAAGGGGCTATCGACTAAAAAATGAACTCGCTGGTAGTAAGGTTGGTTTGGGTGTCTGTCGTGTGACGTCACCACATGCCCGTTTGCGTTGGTTCCTTGTGACGTCATATTGTGTGCATTCTGCGTTTGGTCAAGCAGAACCGCTGGATATAATTTACCTTCGTTTTCGACATAAATGACTTTTTCCTGATTCTGCTGTGAACTGCCATTGCGTGTATCGTTGCTATGGCCATTATCCATGACGTACATTGGCTGAACTCTTTGGTCTTGAGGCACTTGGTGCGGATAACCATTTGCTTGGGGTTGGTGTTCTGGAAGTTGCATGATAACCGGCTGTCGCTCTGTTCTGACACTGTAATCTGGTACAGTTTGTTTGTTGCTGAGTGATTGCTGTTGAACTGGTGCTAGTGTATAGAGTGACTGCTGCTGTTGCGGATAAAGATTTCCGCTGTTTTGGTTATAGACAGAGTAGCCAGCTGGCAGCGGTTCATGCAACGTGTTCTGCGATTGTCCGAGTACATTCGGCAGAGTCCGATTTGGATTAAGTTGATTATATGTAACCAACTGATGGTCAGTTCTAGTCTGTTCATTCGTAGGTCCAACTGGTCGAAAAACGTACTCGCCGTTATTTTGCTGTACCTGTTCCATAACGACATACCGTGGGGCGGTATTGGAGACACCCGGAAGGAGATTATAAGGACTAAAATCGCTTTTGTTGTATCTCAAGCTCGGCTCTGACATAGTCTGATAGATCTTAGCGTTTGTATCGTCAGTACGTGGGCTTAGATAGGGCACTTGGTCCGTGGCAGAGTGTCGGCCAATATGGTGGTCAAGGGGATGAGCAATCCTTCTATTGCGGCGGGTAAGGGGCTGCACGCGATGGGGAGCTCTTTTCCTCTGATACGTGTCATCGCTGTACGCATGGTGCGAAAACCGATGGGTTCGTGCCACGTCGCTGTCATAGGCGCGATGTCGCTCTTGAGGTCTATTGCCGTACAGATGATAATGCACATTGCGCTTATTGTGATCTCCGTGAGAACTGTTTGAGTCATCTGAATTTTCATTAAAAGAATCCAGATCTTGGAGATACATGTCTTTTTCACTGTCTTCATCGTACGTGTTTTCTGTGTGGGGTTTCCGTATATTTCGGGCGGGGCGTTTATTCCTGTGACGAAATTTGCTACGCTTCTTAGTGTTGTGATGAGAAGGTTCTGAGAAGCGTTCCTCTCGCTCAGCAAGCCCGTCCTCGATCCATTTTTTAATAGAACTTCTTTTTCTCTCCCACGTGGCTCGGATTTCGTCTTGATGCCTGTCTTGAAGCTCCTTCTTCTTAACATTTTGATGTTTTGACTTATCCGTGGTGTGCCTGCCTCTTTCGTTTATCTTTGGTTTTCTGACTTCTTCATATTCCTCATCTGGTTCCGTTTCTGCCTCGTTTTTGACTCGTTTTGATATAACTGGTTTTCTAAGCTTTTGATTTTCACTTTCGCTTTCACTTTCACTGATGCTCTTGTGTTTTATTTCTTTTGGCTTCTTAAATTCTTTTTTGTCCACTTCACTTTCGCTTTCGCTTTCAACTTCACTAACACTCTTATGTATGATCTCTTTTTGTTTCTTTACAAGCTTTTGAAACTTAATATTTTTACTTTTCGTCTTTGGTTGGGATGGTTCATCATCTAACTTAGAAGCGTTATTTGTGGGCTTGTGAGAATTTTTATTTTTACTCTCAAGATCGACTCCTTTCTCTTTGTTCCGATTCTTAACTATTTCACCTGTTTCTGTCTCCTCTGATCCTGAATTTACTGGACTTTCTTGTTTTCTTGCTTTTTCATTGGTATCTTTACGAGGTTTCTCGTTTGTGTCTTCATTGGTGCGTTTTTTCTCCTTAGATTTAGGTTTAGTTGAAATTGTTTCTATGTCAGATTTCTTGTTTTTTGGAGTAATTTTCTTAGTCGAGGTAGATTTTTTGGGAGCTGGTTTTTCATCTGAGTCCGTCTCTATATTCTCATTTGGCTGACTCGGAGGTTCTTTTATATTAACACCTTTGCTAGTTGGCTTATCTTTCTCTTTATTTTCTTTCTCTTTCTTTTTTACGGCCTTTGTTTCTTCTTCACTTTCAGATTCCGTCTCCGGAGGTGGAGGTTTCTTCGCAGGTTTTGATTTAGCACCATCCGTGTTGTCTTTTTTGGACTTTGCCGACTGGGCATGGGATGGTTTTTTCGGGTTGTCCTCCTCCTGTCTTGATGCTGTAGGAGCAGGAGTTTGCTTTGCCCCTAACACAGCCAGGAGGTCGCTTTTGGCAATAGGCGTGTCCTTTTCAGGTGCCTGTTCCGATTTCTTTGCCTCGTTCGGTGCGTCAGAATCTTCGGATTCTGCGTCGCCATACTTTTTAGCGTAATTCTTTTGGAATTTATTCTGCAGTTGTCGAATTGCCTCTTCTCTAGATTGCTTTTCGTGAAGCGGAATCTCATTGCTTGGCGGCGGTTTAGGCGTTTTGTTCTTATACGCTGCAATAGGCTTGTGAACAACCGGTTTTGGTGTCTTCGGATCTGGTTTGGGGGTAACTTTTCTCACGTAGTAATCCGGTTCAGCTTTCCCTTTTGAGTACTGTTGAGCAATGCTTTCTTGCAATTGTCTTAGTTTTTCTTGTCTTTCTCTGTCGGCGTCACTCTGTCCCCCTGTCTTTGCACCAGACGCCCTGAATTAAAACGTGTGTTTTGTTATTAATTCGTGGTAATTCAAACTTGCAGTTGATTAACTCTATTTGTCATTCGCTGATGTTCTTATAAAAATGTGTTATTGAACGTTAGATGGCATTACCAGCACATCAGGTTGGGGAGGGGGGGTCACATGTAACACAGCCTCAGACCTTAAGTTACCCGGCAATAAGTACATCGAATAATGGCTGGTGAAGTATCAGTTTATTTTTCAAGCTGACAGAAACATTTATATTTGTCTGGTGTCATCTTATTTTGCATTAATTGTGTCATACGTGATGGAAGACGGGGAAAATTACATTAATTGATTTATCATTTGTTTTCGTTTCACACCTATCCATTCCACCGGATTCAGTGCTTTACTCCGAAGCGTGCAATTTTTTCTTTTCATTAAATACCACTATTGGTGTATATAGGCTATAATAAGTTTAACGTCATTTAAATTTGTTTCAATGAATGTTTTATATTAATCTCGTTACGAAGGCAGTCAACATCTTTTACAAAAAAAATACAGATTACTATAAATGCATGGTACGATGTTTTATCGACCAGCTGATCGCGCTAGTTACAGTGTTTCTCTGCAACTCTGAAGAAACTCACCCTTTTTGTTTGTCTCCCTTCCCCATAGGTAGCTGCCATACACGTTAATACGGCGTCAGCGTCGCTACGTCAGTCAATGTTCTCGCCATATGGACGACGCTGCTTGGTAGAGACTGAAATTATAATTCTTGATTATATAAGTGTGTAACAAAATGCCCTTAATCTTTTCGTATTGATATAGAAATGGTACTTGGATTAACCGAAGTACATTCATCCTAAAGCGCCTTCTGTCGTTTATCAGTATAAAATATTGGGCACAAATATATTGAACTTCTCATTTGTTTATATGGGGATGTCAAAAAGCATGCTTTTCGCGTAACTCTAATTGTCAATATTTCCTACGGCGCATTCGTTGTTTGTAGACACCAAATGTCAATATTTTCACAGTCTAACAGCTGTCACGTGGGCGGACACCGAGGATGCTCCAGCCCCCGTGTCTTTTTTGATCTAATATGGTTGAACATGTACAGAGGCCTGTGGGAGAAAGATGTGCTTTTTTATCCTAGAACCCTTTATACCCCCTTAGACACACACACACACACACACACACACACACACACACAAACAAACACACACACACACACACACAACACAAACACACACACACACACACACACACGAGAGCACGGGCAATTCGTGACCAATAATTCTCATTTGGCACTGCACACCCATCATACATGTAAATATAGTCTATAACTCTATACATACGCACTAAGTTTCCGACAGCGTCATTAGATAAGGCACTGTGAAATAAACCAGACCAATATAAATGACAAACTAATAGAATAAACCTTCCAGAAGAACTAACTGTTACTACAGAGGTATAGAAACAGAGATTTACCGCTTTGTGAAGTTAAGATTATTGATGTTGATGGCACTCAGTTGATGGTATAATTAGTATAAAAACGTCATATAAAATAAAATATAGTGTAATTATTGCAGAGCACTACACTGATACCGATATTTTGTTTAGGAAAAAATGTCCTGAAGAACAGTCAAAGCGCAATTGTTTGCGATTTTTACTGCAAAATGTGACACCAATTCACAGTTGTAGATTTAGATGACATTTGAATGAAGTGTACTAAGGATATTCTTGCCGTAAATGAAAAACGAACAATATCTCAATAAAATGTGTTAAAGTATATTACATCGTTCGCCCGATTAGAGCATTTTAATGGCTTGTTTTTCATAAAAATGCATGTTTAACTTGATAAAGATAATCGCCTTACAATCCGAAATATGAATAGACCTAATTTAAAAAAGCTCACATAAAAATGAACCTTTGTTAAGCCATTAATAATATTGCCTCGTGATCTTAACAGACATGGCAGGCGAACCAGCACAATTGACTGCGAAAAACATGTCAACGAGACCTATCACATTCAACGTCATAAAAAAAAATCCATTCATAGTTTAAATCCCGGAACTGCGCCCCAGAATATTTCGTTTCAAAGTAAGCAGCAGCTCATTACTCAGGAAGAAAAACTGCCAGGCGCAATACAAATCATTATTCGTGGCAAATGAATGGAGAGCGAGAAAGATAATAGAATGCAAGACACTAGATTTTCATTTCGTTTCCATAATCTCCATCGGCAAACATTTAAACACTTTACGTCAAATATTTAAAACAAAGCTTTTTTTGTTGTGGTGGTTATTTCACCTTTGACGCGTAATCATAAAGTACCTTGTGTTCAAATGGAAGTCACTGGGTCTTCTTTGGTGACTGACTACCGACAAGAAATCAATGATTTTTAAAAGCCGTTGCATTGTTCCTGCCAGACGTAGATGTAGCAATCAAAGTGCCTTTTTTAATTATACTAAATAAAAGCGCCATTTTCCACATTTCCATTAGGTGTCTTTATCTTCTTTACCCCAGGAGCTGGCAGGCATGTACATTTACCCATCCCTAAACTTCTCAGATACCCCCGCCTGTCCTGATTTGCAACCCCCCTCACCCCCACCCCCCCCCCAAAAAAAAAACGTATAATAACTAGTAAACGAGAAAAAACATAATTTTTTAATTATGAGTCATACATGCTATAGCAAATTTGTCTTCGTTTTTTGTTTTATATTTGTCGACTGTAGAGAGACTATTTTTTGTCTTTGTATACCTCCCTCCCTCTCTTTAGCATGTTGGCTCAATAGTGCCGTCCAAGCAATGGGGGGAGGGGGGGCTGAGATGAGGCCGGTGTGGCAGGAATGGTACCAGTAGTCCGCTAGTAACCGTAGTCCGTTTCCCATTACTTTGTACAGGTAACATTTTTCCTACATACTAACCCAACCATTCCGACTAACTTTAACCTGTATGGAACCCCCGACTTCCATTCCCAGGACTGCATGCCGCCTGTCACACCTGGATATCTACCAGTCTACACCTGTGACCTTTATGTAAGCCTAACTGACTGATTCCGAATATGAATATTAGTCCTACTCAGTAGCTTTTCATATATCGATTTACTATTATACACCATTGTATTACCTATCAAATCTTGTGCAAACTACGTACCAGCTTTTCCCTCCTCTCCAACCAACCCCCCCCCCTCCCCCATCCCAAACCTCCTACACGGCACCCCACGCCTCGTTAAGAAAAATACTTCGACAAATGTGTAGTGAAATTTGGGTCCTTTTTTATAATTCTGCCCATATCTTTAAAGGAAACTTGCTTCTCCCGCTCGAAGTTTCCAACCAGGTATGTTCAGAGATCGAAAGGTTTAATTTCCTTTACAAGATGACGGCAGTAATAGTCTGGCTATATCCCTGACAATTCACTAATCTTTTCTCATTATTGATTAATCTCAACTATCTGTTGAGTAACAATGATGACTCTAGTCATTTCACCAGAGAAAAATACCAGTTACGATCAATGCTTTGGTAATCAGAACTTGGTAGGAAAACTGGCGAAGGGCAGACATATAAAAAAACAAACAAACAAAGCTGGTAGAAGCACTAACAGTTGAAACATGATGAAAAGCTAATTTAACAATAACAGCGCAGAAAATGTTGTTTTTTTTATCTTTTGTTGAACTATTTGATAGCATGTTACAAAATGCTTAACAGCATAATCAACTGCAGTTTTCACTGAGGTACTACAGTTACTGTGGACATTCAGAAAAATAGCACAATGTCTATGGGAATCCCATGTCGCGTGGAAAATGGCAATTTCTAAAAACAAAAATGAAAGCAAAAAAAAAAAACATAAAAATCATAACTTCAAAATGATAATCTTATTACTGATGACTTAAGCCAACTTTTCAAACTCAAGCTGTTTATACATATATATCAGCTGAACAACGGGGATTAGATTAAACTTTTTAGGGTAAAACATATCTTCATTCTGTGCGCCAACAAAGAATTTACCTGTGGTGTCCGAATCTTATAGCGTACTTGCATGAGTATACATTTACAATGATAATAATAATAATAATAATAATAATAATAATAATAATACAGGGTCTAATGATTGCCTAATACCATATTACAAGTATCTATATCTACGGTAGCTCAACCTTTAAACAAATGTTCTACTGGTAAAAACAATGACTGCAAAATATTTTAATATCTTATTGCTTCTTTGACTCAAATTATAATCAGTCAGAGCCAAAAGCAAATTGGCGGTATAACCAGTCGCATGCTCTGGACGTTTCAAATATTCATTCAACAAGAATTCGATACAGGTTATGATCACTGACTTCACGACAGACATGTTGAAATGTAATATTCACAAACCTCCCTAATTTAACTGCAAACACCGCGGGATGAAAACCAATGGAAATATTGCTTAACGTGGACACTAAGACGGCCATTATACCTTTTCGGCACGACTAAGTTTTCATCCCAGCAGAAGCATTCAAGATTCTTGCCGATAAGCCGTAGAGGATATCTACGACAATAGGACAGTCCCTGTACGTACAGAGCAGTCTGTGGGATATAAGTACCGGGTAGCTATGACCAAATGAATATAAAATAATTCTAGTCAGTATTCACAGCTGATAGCATAAGAATCTCCAAGCAGATGGAAAATGACGTCAGTTTACATCTTGACCTCAAGTTCATAATACGATCACCCCCTTACTTTTACAAGAATAGTGCCTTAGAATAGATATATTCTGTGGTTGTGCTTGAATGTGTCAAAAACGATTACTACGTCTAGTGTCGTTTTTCACTTTCAAAAGGTGTACCAAACTTTTCCACATAACAAGCAAACCATGCCTCTTACCTGAAAGATAACAGCGGCGTCCTAAGGCCGAGGGAACTCACGCACGCTTAGCAGCACTGTGTCAACATCTCACGAGGACTGATGAGACAGACGAGAATATCGACATCTCAACATAATGCATAATTGGACGCGTTTATTCGCACCGAGTTTGTTTTATCGACAGTTCGTCCATGGTCCTTTTCAAAACAGAGGATGGTATCGAGTAGATGTATAGACTGCCGCCAATGAATTCCAATACTGCGGTGTATGAATGTTATAACTTTGATATGTAAAGGTATACGAGGAGGCAACGGAGAAGTTGGCCTCAGTGTCATTATGTTATAGCTTTACGATTGCCTTTTCTCGCTGTTATTTTTTATTTATTTCCCTGTTCCTATTTTCCCCCAACGCCATTACACCTGAAGATTTTTATTGATTTATTCTCCGTATGCAAGTACACATTTATTGTCATTCCTTGAGTGTGTTGCAGCAAATCTAAATGAGACAGATAGATTAGATCAACTTGTGTCCATTTAAAGAATTTGTTCCGAAAGACTCGCCGTGTTACTGAGCCGTATATCATGGGAATCGACCATGTCATCGACGGTCACCACACTACATATTCAAAATGGAATCGTTATTCGATAACTTTGCCAATTATCCATTCTAAACGAAACACTGCTTTTAAAAAGCGTACTGCCGTTACAAATACACAGACTCAACTGCTTTGGTGACCATACTTTATTTGTTATTCATTATATATATTGATCTTAACAACAAATCATAACACGCTGTGCAGGAATATTTGAAAGACGGTAGAAGTTTAAGGTCAAGGTCACGGAAGAGGATATTATGAGTGTTTGGCGTAACATCAGGCGATATCATTGCCTTTTTTTATTCGGTTTACCTAAACCTCCCTTTTCAAGTGCAGAAAATATGAAGAAAACCTTTATCAGCTCCATTCTGGGGAATATTTTCTGTACTTTCCTCCATAATAAAGGTGCAGGTTGGAAATGACATTGGTGTTGAAAACAAAATACTGTTACTTTGTGTTACTATTAAAAAAAGAAAAATGATGATTGAAATTAAATAATCCTAATAAGATGCACGATACAAAAATTTCGATGCACGTTTTATAATCATTACACCTTTCAAAATGTGTGTACTGTAATGGAGATTATGATTCATTAAAAAGCATAGGAAAATAAATAACAAATTAAAGAAACAGGAAAGGAAAGTAATACATACGTGCGCAAAATTGATCAATTCCCAAACTTTGGAAAAATGTCATAAAATGTGAGGTTCCACTAGCTTAAACTTTTGTCCGTCTTGTGGTTAAAGACAGATCATCTTTTATCCTTGAGGTACTTGTTTAAAAAAGGAATTTACTTTAGGTGTGTATAGGAAAAATCGGACTATTTGGTCGCCAACATTGTTCACCGATGATACATGCACCAACTATTCTAATCAGCCACAGTGCGGTTCAACTTTCCAGTGCGTCTCACAGAGCGGACTACCTGATCCGCCTACTAAATAAGGTCGACCCATCTTAAAAAGATATGCCCCTAATTCACTGATTGTCTCCATGTCCCCACACGCGCTGGCGCTGCAGGGGCCTAGCAATTAAACCTCGGAGACAATCAGGAAATTAGCAGCATCGCTTTTATAGCGGGGTTGACCATATTTAGTCGGCTGATCAGTTAGTCGGCGGACTATCTGTCCTGAATGCGCTCTATGTCACGGAAGACGCATCTACTGCTTTACAAAACCCGCATGAGAATCAGGCTAGGGAGAGAACTAATCATAATAATCCTCTACATAAGTATCTGTAATCGATTAAGTCTTTTGTGTCAACAATTAAACCTAGCGTACACTTAATTGCATCGATTCAAATCAAGCAACAAAGGTTTGCGTTTGCTCTGTGATCACGGAATGCTTTATACCTTTTAATCCGTCGATTTTATACAGGATGACAACTGCAGATGGTATTTTCTTTATTATTTGTGGAACTATTTCCTTGTTCTCATATACTTTGATAATTTCAAATTCATTCAGCTTTATTTCATTGTGCTTAACGTGCACTAGTACTACTTTATACGTGACATCCTTTCACAGTTGCTTCCATAACCGAACCGAACTTAGCTCCAGTGCAAACAAATCCATCACTTTGCTACGTGAAAATATAGTGACAATATATATATATATATATATATATATATATATATATATATATATATATATATATATATCTTTTTTAAAAACCTTCAAATGGTAGCCAATACGTCGAAAAAAGGCAAATATATCTTTAAAATAAACTGTTACTTTTACTATAAAATACAACCCACGGTACCAATGATGAAGTCTTTCTAAGCAACCGGTACCAGACATTACATTGCGAAGTACTGTAAGGCGAAAGCAATGCCGCACGTGCTGGGGACTTCCTGTTTATGCCATATATTGACGTCATCAGTTCCAAACTTTTATATTAACTACATAGCATGTTTTCGAAGACGAAAGGACATCGGAAATACAGCCGCAAGCTTAAGTAAGAGAAAGGTGCGTTGAATTCATAACAGCACGTTTAGAATGAACAATAGGTTTTTATTCAAGGAAGTTCACATTCAAGGGACGTGATCGCTGATTGTCTTGTCGCTCTGACGCATAATTTAATGACCAGACCTAAACGGAATGATTGAGTTTCTGTAAAGTTCAGTTCACACACACACACACACACAAAAGCGATCATTTTGGCCACGTGAATGACGCATACAATGCATAACTGTTTAATTGATCCTTATCTCCAAACTGTCTCTCCACGCATCTCCTCTGTTTTCCTCTTACAACACTCACCTCTGTCGTCCGACGATGAACCGTCACCCCACCCACCTCCTCCTCCTCCATCCCATCCCACCCCCAGTCTTACTACGATAGTTGTTAACGTGACCATTGTTTCAGGGTTACCTTACTATACAAAAGGCTTCAACGGTTATATTTATTTTTATAAAAATCTAAAAATCTGACCATCAAAGACATATCGAATTCTGCTACATTCCTACTGTGGCTTACCTGTCCATACGACAATACACAATGATAAAGGGTTTTTCTTAAAAATCTCTGCGGACTACGGATAAAAGTTGAATCAAACATGTTGAAACAATGAGAAGAGAGTTCATAAATATACTTAATTAACAAAGATCTTCTTTTCGAATAATTTGAAAATCCCATTATGCATCTCAGTTTAACCGCTTGGGAGGGTGAGGAACATTTGCATACGTCACACACACAATCCTGTCTGTCCATTATGACCACATGCGCTTTTGTGTCTGATAGCAACGTCAAATCACACTTGGAAAAGTCGCTCACGGAAAATTGTTAAATAATTTCTAAAAAAAAATATGTTAGGGCGATGACATTAATCATGGTTGAGCATTCAAACCTTACTTGTCGCGCCTGTAAGCTACAGATCATTACGGGTTCAATTACTCGCGGCAGCCGACACACTCCAACAGTTGTCTGCAACTAAAGAGACGCAATATAGCGAAAATGATTAGAATTGTATTTCTGAACTTCAAACATCCGGTTCCCACGCTACAGCTGTGACCATGGATTGACAAATAAACACCGGAGTCTTCTATATCGATATTACTGCTTTACTGTACTTCCTTGTTTTCAAACTGGACGGGTCATTTGGTTACAAACGGTTATTGACGCTAGAAGAAACCTTCCAATGGCGCCCCTTACAAGTGGCAAACAGCACACTGCCTGACGTACATGTATCTGAATATCGAAAATACGCCATTGGTGCAATGAGCTCGTATTTAGAGCTCTTTAATTTATGACGACTATACCAGTAAAATGTTTAAAAACTTGGTCTGTATACTTGTAGGCCTACATGTAGGCCACGCCAAGTGAAGCAATTACAAAATGCGTCGTTTCTTATTTCAAAACTCAGGACGGTGTACTTTTTGTGGCCTACTTACTGATTATGGTATTGGCACATAACAGATGACCGAGAAGAATAAATACACGTGACTTGTGTGTATACCGGTGTTATATATTGGAGTGAATTCCTTGGCTTTGGAAAAGCTAGGGTCCGTTCCCATTGGTTTGTACAGTTAAGCGCCGTCCTATATTTTGACCCACTTACGTCACGCTAACCCTAACCTGTAGGAATCTAACGGAAGGTTGTTAATCTGGTACGTACGGAGCCTCAGATTCACCCTTTCTAATGCCCATCATAACGACGTGAATGGTAAATCATGAACAAATATGACTTTCAGTTTTCAGATGACATCACCATGTACTGATTTAGATACATGTAGAACATACAGACGTGTCTCTGTAAATATTATTGTCCTCTATTTGACAATTGTTTACAATTGAAGAAAAAAAAGAAATCAATATGATTAAATGATGTGAAAAAGCTTAGCTTCTATCTACTTCTGCAAGCAGGTCGTAGGCGTAGTGGATAAAGCTAATGAACTCTGGGGGAAGTGGTTTGAAGCCTGCAGCAAGTTACTAAAGCAAAAATCGTACAATTGATTTTCAAGTCGTGGCTTTGTTTTCCATATCCAACGTATGCAAATAACACGAAGGTATGTACTTTACTTTAAAAAAATAATTGACTTACATATAATAATTTTTTAATATCCTCTTTATTTTGAACATGTTTTAAATGTACAAATGAAAATCTTGCTCTAAGAGAAACTATAAAGTGAAACTGTTTTTTTCGTGGATAGGTTAATCAACACCTCTAGATAAAAAAAAGATAAAAATGAATAAACAATTAACTGTTTAAATAGGAAAATTCAATGGACTTTTTAAGTAACTTTTACAAATAACAAATAATCGCATGAGGCCTATAACTAAATGCATGACAATACAGACAGGCCTAACTAAAATAAACGCAGTTGAAATTGTATTGCACCCGCGATAATCACACATCACCCCACATATCATATTTTTATTATTCATATTTACTTCTACTTATAATAATAACTATTGTCTATATTATTAATTTTTCTTTTTCCTACGAAAAAAATGTTATTTATTTAAATGAAGTATAAACAGAAAATAGGTGTACAGCACTTTACAATATGGCATTCTCATTCCTAATGTGTTAGTTGAGTTGAGATTTGAGACTTTTTGTCTCAACCAGCACAATATAATCAGTTTACCGAGATCTCTCACTATCTTCGCTCCAGTATGACCTACATTGGACTACGCATAGCAGGCTGCACGTACGGACAATCGTTTGCCGCAGACCACGGTCTAAAATATGTTGGATCGTAGCAGATGAATATTTATGCAGTGGTTGATGTGGAGGATATTTGACGCTGTATACCTCGCACCGTGCCCACCACGCATGAAACTTGAAAGCGAGCTAGGGATCCAGACACGAAGACTGAAGCATTATTCCACGGCAGCAGCGGCCGTCGTTCTTCACGTCAGATAAGATAAACATATACACTACTGTTCACCAACAAGGCAACATCTACTAAAGATCCGTGCCTACGCTGCACTGAATCGCGATCGTGACACATCTATTACTTGTAAGCCTACTCAGCCGCATATAGGTGTGTTCTTTGACTAATTGTTTCATGAAACTATAGGTTATTACCTTTAAGTTGAGATGCAGTACGACGTTGCTGTTATTGGAGGAGGGGTGGTAGGTTGTTCTCTTCTCCATGAGTTAACGCGGCGAGGATATCGGTGCGTACTGTTGGAGAGGAAGGAACATTTGGTCGCCGGGGCAAGTGCTGGGAACAGGTGGGCCGCAATCTTATTATGGGCGAATTTTTTCTTTAAATTAAATAAAATAAACAAATATATAATAAGCGAAACAAGACAACCATGTTTTTTGCATTCATTCTTATTCTCTACATATATAAATAATTTACTAGTTTTCTTATATATAGCTTTATGTTTCCCGATTGAATCCTTAATGTGACCCCCACCCCCACCCTCCTTAAGCAAACCTTGGGTCCACCAGTGCATTTGCAAATGTGTACAGGTGTATTGAAAAATCGATATATTAAAAGGCGTTTCCTAAAACTGTCCTACATAAACACCTCAGTATGATGTTGTTGGTGTAAATCAGATCGCTGGAGGCCTACCAGTAGGCCCTATATATCATTTGCATAGGCCTACAATGTACCGGTATTACATTACATGTACATGCGGACACTTACAGTAAGCATAGTGGTAACGTGATACCTGATTGTTTATGAAGTTGCATATGTACTACGCCAAGCTCTGCTTACAAATATTAAATATAAACATTACAAAAAAAGATATTTTAAGATGATTTATTGTAAAAGTTTTTTAAAAAATGAGTGAGATGGCTGTCCTTATTGAGTAAATCCTGTACACAATTTTAGTGGTCATGCTCATAGCGGTTTTGATACCGACCCCGCCTCTTTTGAGGGTCGACTGTTGACCAAAGCAAGGACATTAGCAACTGACCACTTCTACGAGAGCCTGGGTGTACCTTACAAGAAAGTTGGGGCTCTTCTTGTGGCTTGGGACACAGAACAGGTAGAGAGATCTAGTGTTCTAAATGTTCTCAGCTTTCAGGTGGTAAAATTAAATTTTTGTGCTAAAAACACGAATCTCACAATGAAAATGAAACTATATGCATCAGCAACAACAAATACAGAGGGAATATAATAGTATGTCAGTGCACATAAATATGGAATAAATAAAAACAGGTACATTTTTCTGTTGATATCGGTCTATTACAAACGAATACATTCCTTTCATTGCTTAAAATGCATTTAAATAGATTTTTCCCCAATTCAGCTAAAGAAACTACCTGAAGTTGTCCGCAAGTCTCATCTGACGGGTTTGGGAGGAGTGAGACAAATCACCCAATCACAACTTAGATATCTAGAGCCAAACCTGTCCCACAATGCCCTGGGAGCAGTCATTATTCCGGATGAAGCTTTGGTGGATCCATGGCTGCTCCCTGTCATGCTAGTCCACAATGCTCAGAGAAATGGGGCAAAGGTTAGAAAAGGGTGGCATACGTGACATTCCATATACCGTACTGAATTTATTTTCTAGATAGATAGTTAAGATTTCAAGTGACCAATGGAGGGATTTTAGTAGAAAAAATATTCATTGACATAACACACTGTAGGTTAATTTCCTAGTTTTCAATGTTGTAATAACTTTTGAAACTAACTGGATTTATTCTGCCTAAATGCTGAAGATGATGTTTGAACAATTCAACCATCGGTCTGAAATTGTCCATGTCTGAACAGTCCTTTCTATTCTTCTCAGGTCAACCTGTCCAGTGAGGTGACCTCATGTAGAAGACTTGCTGATGGAGGCTGGCTACTGACCACTTCCAATGGTCAAGTTGAGGCCAAAGTGGTCATCAATGCAGCTGGACTGTATGGAGACAAGGTGGAGGAAATGGCCGGTGGTACCAGCAGCTTTAGGTAAGGTCGAAGACAGGTCAGTGAAACAACAGGGACAGATACATGTATAAAGCTGTTTACATTATTGGAATTTAGGGGGCTTCATTCCATGTAAAACACCAACCTGATAAATATATTAAGTTGCTTTCCACTACTATCAGTAGTAGAGTTAAGTACAAAGGTATATATCAATCAACAAAGTATTAGCCATTTCTCACTCTCTTGCGAAAGGGGCCTGTTTAAAAGCACACAAAAAAACGTAAGCTTTTTTCCTAGAAATTTCAACACTTTTCTCTTAATCTTCAAGATATATGCTACATGTACATGTATATTAAAAACTATTTACATAATTACAATCCCTAAACCCAGCTCTTTTGTGGAAGTGGTATCAGCTCACTGTTATTGTTTCCTCAGTATCTTGCCTCGCCAGGGTCAGTATGCAGTGTATGGCAGAGAGGCTGCACCCTTACTGAGACACATTATACTCCCACTACCCACTGCTAGAACCAAGGGGGTCACCGTCTTCCCCACAGGTAGGCCTACAGTGGAAAAATAAAACTGAAATATGCATGTATTTGGGTGACAATTCTAAAAATAATTATCAATTCATTTACAACCTGGAAAGATGCGACATATTTGTTTGTTTGCCAAACTTCAAATTGTTATTTTAATATATAAAACTTAAAATTATTATTACCATTAGGCTATTATTATTATCAGTCCTACTGTTTCACATACATTGTTAATATATATATTTCCATTATTTAATGGAAACTAACAAAAAGATCAAATTGAACATTAACAGCTGCAATAAAGGCCTATTAATATACGTTATTGAGTTGGATTTTAATTTGTTCGGTATGCAGTTTATGGTAATGTGGTAGTGGGCCCAACAGCAGAAGATGTAGATGAAAGGGACAATCCAACTGTAGATGGCGCCACAATAGACCGACTGGTGTCCTATGCCATTGGAGTACTTCCTGCACTGCGGGACCATAAGATTATTGGAACGTACGCAGGGCTAAGACCCGCCACTGCTAGCCAGGACTATCACATATATGGAAATGTTCACAGGTAGTATCGTAACTAGAATTTCTAGGCAAAAGGGCCTTAACAGCAAGTAATTTTTATAAAAATTGGGGAAAAAATACCAAGGAGATTTTGTGTTCTAATACACACCAGATAAAATCTCGTTCACACCAGCGCGCCCTTAGTTCAGTAATAGACTAATTGACTTCACAGAAAATCGCATGCATTGTCTACTGCAGCTAAGTTTAAAAACTGACTTTACTCTTGTTTGAACGCACTTATTTGTAGGTCAATCCTGCTCATTTCTTTCCCCTACGTTAACAACGATCACCGCTTTGTGACGCGATGGCAAAACGAGAAGCTATACTAGTAGGGACCTACACTGCGTCATCAGTTGTTCTAAAATCATAAGTTGTGAAGGGTAAACTTAACACTTAGTAAATGCATGTTGTAAGTTATGTAACAGTAAACATTTCAGACAGTGGATAACTGTTGGCGGAATCCGTTCCACGGGCCTCTCAGCCAGTCAAGCCATTGCACGGCACGTCGGTTCCATTCTCTCTACAGACCTTAAACTGTCTCCGTCTCACTGTCCCTTGGACAGAGACATAGGTGGCGCCACTAAGACTTGGAGTACTGATTGCACGGAACTCGCCCTGGATGGTGCAGGGTACAAGGTGACGCATCCGTTAACAGCGTTTGGCCTGAGAAAATGTTCCAAGCTGTGAGACTACAGAGATGTCGAATTTCGGTCCAAGGTTGCCATCGTCTTAACAGTCCATGTCGCTGGACCAGTGGTCTGTTGTACAAATACAAGGCACGTCTACTGAATGGGGCCGCCCATTGGACGTCAGGCACTGAATCCCAGCACTGAATCCCAGTTGGATCAAAGTGTTCTTTTGATGAGGCATTTGGGGTTATTTCCGATTTTATTTTGATACCGTCCGGACGAGCCGTGCGGCCATATTAACGCATTTAGATGTCCTTAGAGAACTGTCGGAGGCACTGAAAGCAAAATTATTGAAAACCAGTGTATAATGGACGAGAATTTGTTTGATAATTAAATCTGAACTTAAGTGGACACGAACGGGAGTGAACATGTATCAGAGAAAGTGCTTTTATCTGAATATGAAAATAATTTGACTTTCTACATACATGTAGCTGAGTGACCAAATTTTGTACTTTGTATTTGAGTGAAAATACGTGTTTGATTTCAGAAAAATAATAAAGAAAAATTAATCCATTGTTGCAAATTGGGATTTGAATCATCGTGCAATGTGATAATAGAATGCAATTAACATATGATCAGCTGCGTAGCATTATTTTGTCCTAAAATAAAGAAATAGTACAACGCCGTCCGTTAATAACCGTTTTAATGAAATCAAGGGGTACATATTGATGTGAATTTAACTAAATAATCAATGAAGTAAATCCCAAATGGTATTTTTTGTAATCAAGAAATGGGTTTTTGTTGACACCGCAAGTTATGGGGCACGTATGCTTTTATAGTTTTCCCTTGTGACTATTAGGACGAGCAATATTTCTCCTCTCACCAGATAGTTCACAGTAAAGCACAAGTTTGTTGAGATTCCTGTGCCGTAAATCTTAGGTCTATTTCTTACAGAGCGGGTTGACAACTTTATACCCGGGCTATTACTTTTGGGGGATATCAACTCTTCATATGAGATCCAAAATTCCACAATAAAACATTGTACGCAATACATAAAAATATAATGAATTTCATTTGACCACCAAAAAACAGTGATCACAATTATTCTGGAATCTGGCAAACAGCCAGGTGAACCATGCCGTACTTCACATCTCTGTCGAACGCTAGAAAACCGGTTGGCTTTACAGGAGTCTGGGAATTGAGGAGATAAGATGTAAATCAAAATTTTGAGAGCCCCCACATTTGGATTTGGAAACTGGTCGCCATTTTCCAGTTTTTGAGGCCTACATATCAGAAACTGTTAGGAGAGCTAACGCATGAATTAAGTGCTGCAAGGAGTACTATAAACAGTTGTATTGTTGGGAGTAGTGGTGTGATTTTTGTCTACTTTTGTTTCACCTCAATTACCTTAAAAGTGGCAAGCGCGTTTTTATCGTACGAGTGGACCTCTAACAGAAGAGGAATACTTAACTTACAATCAGAAACGCCTCAATCACCTTAAAAGTGGCAAGCGATTTGTTATCGTACGAATGGAACTTTAGCAGTATAGGAATACTGAACTTACAATCAGAAACGGCTGTCGACAGAATCACTTTTCATGACCTTGACTCTTCTTTTGTTGCCTGGTCACCCTGGATTTCCAGCTCATATAGGTGACCTAGCACAGTGAGAGCTTCCCTTCACTCTGTCTCTTTGGTGATCGTAAACAAAAAAACAGCTTTATATGCATTACATGTATTAGAAAAGTTTGAGAGAAACTCCATAATGATTGGGGTGACATCAACATGTTCAAAAAACGTATTTTAGCATGGCATACACGTAGTTTTTCAATGCTGGACGTTGATGCTTTAAACCGAGTGACAAAAACATCACGTCCCGAGGCAGTTGCTTGACATTTAAAAAGAAAATATGAACAGACGGTGCGTAAACTCCCCTGCGAAATGACGCAGAGTATTAGTACGAAGTCTCTTAAAGTGGGCGCATTTACACGCTTTTCAAGTTAGAATTATTCTAGTTCCTCTTAAAAACGCCACACAGTATAAATTCACCTACACGAGGGTTATGTTAACTTTGGTATGTTAACACTTAACGATTATGTGTCAAACAAAGTTATAAATTTGTCATCTTACAAGCAGGACGTCTTCAATGACAGAGCAGGTGTGGTACAGTGCGTTTTCACCCACCGCTCACAGGGATTGCATTGTGTGCGCGTTCTTTAACACCCGGCAGGGCATATTAGAAACGGTTTTTACGACTGAAAGTCATTACGTCGTATACCTTGTAGTATACTGAGTGCGTAGAATAAAATAAGCACATATTACGGCAAAGTTGTTTTAACAAAGGACGGCGTGAAAGAACCGGATTTATAAAAACAAACTCAGTGCAATATTCACCATCCTCCGGTAATAGTGGTCTTTACTAGAACCTGGCCACCTGCAGCAAGATAGACTGGATAGATTCCTACCATCCTACAATCCCACCGACAATCAGGGTTCATGTTTAGAGAATTCCGAAGAGATACAGTTCAAAACTCTCACTGAAAGGGAGGAACTTTTAAGGCACCAGTCCCAACGCTGGAGAATATATCCCGACACGTGCTTAATTTTGTGCGTAATATCATATTGTGTCGTTAACGACACTTTCAGTCTCTGTAACGAGATCACCGAAAAGGCGTCATTTATCAGATACTGTACCAGTAATATCTGTAGGATTTTGCCATGCTCTTCCAGGGATATCTCGCTTGGTCTAAAAGGGACGCGAATATCGCATCGCCGCTGTTGTTGTTGTTGGTTTTTCTAAGTTTCACACTGCCAGGTAAGTGCTCGTTATACTGCATATAACAGGTGTGCAATGTTGAGGCAGTTTAGATGTCATTTGCATGACTGAATGAAGTATCTCGTATTGTAAAAATAGTATTGCATAAATACATGGTCAGTTTTAGTAACAGTTGTTCAGTGCAAGTAGTAACCAGTACTGCAAAGTCCACCTGGGATAACTGTTCAGACAAGTTCTTCTGTAGACCGAGATCAGCCTGGCTTCTTTCACTAACAGAATACAAAAAAAGTACCTTTGCAGCTGAGACATTTACTAATTAATTGTGATAATCTTCCTTATTTTTTTATGATTAATGAGCAAAAGCAAATGCTTATGACGTGAGTTATGACGCAAGTAAGACTAATTGCCGGTCTCGAATTGCTCAGTGTGAATACATCTTGAGTACTGTACTTTTCGACAGATATAAATCCAAAGTTAAAGGGTTAAATTTCTGGAGTTCAAGGTTAGATAAATTATGATACACAATATAGATGATAAAAGCTAGCAGCCCATCACTGAGAGGAGACTGACGCAGAGGCCACAAATGTTGGAGCTGGAGGTCGTCTGCGATGTCGAAACGTTCACTGGAGTCAGGGGTGTATTCAAAGCTCCTCGCTTTACCTGGCATGCAAGGCGTTAAAAGGACGCCCTCCCCCCACCCCACTCCCGCCCCCTCCCCCCTCCAGTCACTTCTCTATCTCCCCCAGCCTAAATTACAGCGGGATCGGAAAACTCCCTGTCAAGACTTTTTCGTTTAAGTATACTTATGAATTTTTTAGAACAAAGTTTATTCACAAGAAACGGAAGCACAGCGCATGGAAACGTTGTAAGCTCTCCGTGAAATTCAAAGAAATAATGACGATAGGGAGGTTATAACCAGGTAGCCCTGAGATTCAGGGTGTTGAACCCCGATCCGCCTCAAAATGTTCGGCACGTTCGATCCACCGTAAATTTATATGTACATGTACCCCCTGTGCTGTCTACCAGAAGACAGCCGAGTGATGACATCAGTCCTATACAGCCATTCTCGCTGTACAAAAAAATGAATAGAATTAACGAAAGAAATATCCTTGGATGTCTTGTGAAAATCAAAATTGCGGTGTACATGTACGTGTGCATGGATTTGGGTAGAGACATGTATGTTAATAACATCATCAGACAAAAAATATAACTGAGAAAAAAAAACAGCTGTTGTAACCATATTGGATAGTCGGCATTGACTGAAGGACATATGGTAAAATTTTGGCAATTTTGCACTATTTAGATACATGCTGTTGAAGCTGAAGAACAGGTCTTTTCTTTAATGACGGTGGGCCAGTGGGACAGGAATGGTAGTCCGTTAGACACCGCACTCTGTTTCCCATTGCTTTCTACAGGTGATATTCTTCCTAAAAACTAATCCCTGTACCTGCGGCTAACACTGACCTGCACTTATCATATGGGACAGTGGCCTACCATTCCTGGGTCTAGCATTCCTTTCACGCCAGACATCAGAACTATTACATTTGTTCCTTGCGGAGAGCTAATCCCAGTGAGGGGGGTGCACTAAAATAATAAGTCTGCCCAACTCGAAGTGTAACAGTATTTTCTATCAGTTCCGCACGCGCGCAGACCACAGTTCAAAATACAGCTAACAAAACAACCCGATATAGCAAATTACTCCTTTTGGGAGACAGAAAATATTCATACTCAGTCATTCCGTCAGGTCAAAAACCTATTTTTACTTTCCGGAACAGAATGGTATTTTTACCGCGTGCTGCAGCTGCACTGTAATTTGTAACATGAGAAAAATGAGCTTTTAGTGAGAAGCTCACCTTTTATCAAGAACGAAATGAGTACGTTTTTTACAGTTTAAAACACCGAATTTCAGAGGCACGGTCTCTCTTTGGTCGATATTGGAACTCTCTAGACACCTTAGCCGACATGCGTGCATGCATACAGGTACCTAAAAGGCATAGGGGGCGAATTTTTGCTTCAAAATAACGTTAATTGTTTAATGCGATCCGACAAGTGTGGCTCATGTACTAGTATATATATATATATATATGCTAGTACATGAGCCACACTTGTCGGATCGCATTAAACAATTAAACAATTAAGTAAATATATATATATATATATATATATATATATATATATATATATATATATATATATATATATATATATATTATTTTTTTTTTTTTTTTTTTTTACATTAGAATTGCGGAAATTGCAAAAATGCAGAAAGGTTCGCGATCTACCATACGCGAAGGAAAATACAGAGTCACATAGTCGGATATTTGGAAGAAAAACATTTGGCAAGAAAAATGTCGAAAGCGCCAACCAAATCAGCCCCCACAAAGTATCCTTATCCCACGTGCAGTCCAGGTCCTTAAGTACTGCATTCTTTTTTATTTATTTGGGGTTCACTGATGTTGAATTAAAACTGTTCCGGGTCGGAGTAATTAACTGAAACCAATTTCTGCGAAAAGAGGAAAACAACGAGGAAATAGTTCACGATTTCGCGATCATTTCTACTTGCTGTTGGCGTTTTTCTTTATATATTATGACATACAATTTCTCGATTCTTTCATTTTAAAATGTGTTTATCCATTTCAGAGAAAAATTCTCAATCCATCAATCCTTGAATTTATTTTCAGCAAATGCTGCGACCGACGCCTCTGTGATGTGCTACCGTTGTCACTGGACTAAGCTGACCACCGCTAGTGACCAGACTGACAGTAGTCTTAATATCCGCCTAGCGTCCATCACAAACACCAGTGTGGAGGACTGTAAGGTTGGAAAGGCCGGAATAGCGACGCACGTCTGTCATGATCACAAGCATTGTATTACATTGGACTACAAGCTCCAGTTTGAATACCTCGTGCGTATACTATCATATGATTATTAATTAATTAAAGCATTAAATTATTCATTTAATGACACGTTTTGTGAAGAATTACAACTCTCTCTCTCTCTCTCTCTCTCTCGTTAACGTTTTTTGTCCGTATGCGACTTTGTCAAACAACGACGGGTGGGGGTGAAAATGAAAAGTTCTGGTGTCATCTTACCACCTGTTTGTGAATTAGAAATAACCTAAAACCAGAGACTTACTGGGTTCATAATAGAACTTCTTATACCAATGTCGTCCCAAGAATTTAGACCCAATTTTAACCCGAAGTAAGTATTGAGTAGTATGTAGTATATGGCCCCAATTTCACAAGAAGAAGAACTTACTTTATGTTTTAGACCAAAAGTTTTCTTTTCTTTTTTTTATTCAAATTTTTTAAGTTGAAGCAGACTTTTTCTAGAAATTAAAACCAACTTTTCGTCCAAGGTTATCGGTACTGATGTGGTGCATGTACAACCTGCAGCGAAATAGACCTCTTCAGTTTCACCTTTCCGAACTTCAGGGTTTGCTGTAAAGTAACCGCCCAGCTGCGCGTTTATTATAACTCCTTCTGTAAAGAAAGACTGGTTTAATAGTGTAAGCCACTTGGTAAAATATGCTTTGATGTTATTGGAGTTGTGAATGGAATATTTCCTCTACTGGGTAATTAGAGTGGGACTCAAATTGCTGGAAACGAGCTGAAGAGAATAAAAACCTATTCTTGTCGGAAGACGCCACTGCCTTCGGCCTTTTCCAAAACAAAATGGGGTTCTGCACCCATTCCATCTCCAACAGGATGCAGGAGGCGCAAACTAAAATTGAACCCTCCACCCCACCAAATATCTCTCCATTCCAGGGATCGTCTGCCAGTATGAAGATGTTTTATCGCGACTGTCCGTACGGTCTTGACCCTACCAACAACGGATGTGACCACCTTTTTCTAAACAACTCCGCCATAAAGGTTAGTATAGGTGATCTCCGTCTTGCAGTTAAATCGCAATTGCGATTAATGAGTGTAACATTTCAACTGTCATACCAAGGATGGGAAGTTATCGAAACTGATATGCGCATTGTAACTTTACTTACAGGACTAAACTTAAAATGACTTAAAAGGAGTAATGGCTAAGGGATAACGTGCGTTAGGTTGTAGAGCCATAATTATCTTTCTCTCTTTTAATATCGTTTTCAATTTATTTATCAATCAAACTTTTTAATTTGTAAACATTTTGCACGCTCCGAGTAAATAAGTTTAGATTATTATAGATTTATTTGGTGTTTTAGGGACTCTCCTTATTCCTATCCACAGTCGGGGGCCTGGATCGTCTGCAAATAGAAAATGGCGGGAAAATATGCACGTGCGAGGGAAACTTATGTAACAGAGTACCTCCCACCAGTCCAACAGAAACGAGCGGTGGCTCCTCTTTGAAAATCCAACTCATTGTCTTTTTGTTGATGCTTTTGTATTAAGTACCAGTACTACGAGAAAGAGATGTTGCCTTTTAAAGAAAATTAAAACATTCTGGAAGACACTTTTCCATGCGGTAGGTCTACTTTTTGAAATCTTCCGAAGAAGGTCTATTGTTTTATGTACTTTACTGTTGGTTGTACATTTACCTTTTAAGATTGAAATGGGTTCTGTATGCAAGATCTGACGTTCAGGTTTGCCAGCACGTTTGTATGTAATATAATTCATTATGTTCAAATTAAATGTAAACATGCTGAAAATAATGAACACTTGAAACACATCTGATATACACATAGAAAAAAAAATGGTATTAAAAGAATTTGATACGTTTTGTTAGTCTGAACTCCCTTCAGTCTTGTGCTGTAAATTACCCAAAAAAAAAAAAATAAAATAAATAAATGTATATATATGGTAACTGGCAGATTATTTTCAAATCAGTTTTATTAATTCAGAAAACATTAAATTTATAAAGTATTTTTGTACGACAACATACAATATATATATATATATATATATATATATATATATATATATATATATATATATATATATATATATACAAGGATGGACCAAAGCTAAATGTTGGTGCACACTTAACCCTATCCTTTCCTTTGCCATCTTTCTTTTTCCATTTCTTCCTCTTAATAGCAATGATGTTCTCACCCTTCTGAATTATTGTTTATCTCCTGTGACCACAGGGACAATTTTTTTACCACATATTAAATATCTTTTTGCAAGCCCAATCAGTTTTCTTTTTGCAAATCAAACTACTTATCAAGTCCCAAAAGTTCATAAAATAAATGTTCAAATAGAAGATACTTTTTTTTCTTAAGTGACTTGAATTGTCTTTGCCCTTTTTGTTAATTGGTCAATATCACTAGGACCATATTCGGACGGTGAGGTCACTTCCTCCAGACACCAGATAGTCTCCTTTCTTGTCAAATACCAGACCCTGCACACCATCTTCGTGGCCCACCAGTGGCGTGATCTGCGAAGAGATGGCAGAACAAGATATCATATATAAATAAATATATAAAACAGCTGACCAGGATAATGAACAATATAACAATAATATACAAGGCACAGGGACATGAAAATTGCTTGGTTTTATCTTACTTATTTATTATTTTTCGTCCTATTTTTACAAGTCTGGGGATTATAACTGGTGAATGTATTTATGCCCTGGGAGTTTTAAAAAACATCAGAAGCAGGCACTATTTTTATAATATAATATAATATAATATAATATAATATAATCACCTGTCCAGTGGCCACTTCATACATCTTTATGGTGGCATCATTGCTGCCAATTGCTAGGACCATTCCTGGTGAAATAATGAATAAAGAATAATAATGGAATAATTATTTCTTAACAAATGCATCTCAAACTCGATGTAATGCTTGTCACAGTTTATCGCCGCTGGTGGGTACTAGGTGTGGCTCAAAGGGGGGGGGGGTGACACAGGCGCATCTTAAATAATTTTTTTTTAATTTCCATTAAAAAATGAATACAAAATACAGTAAGTACAGGTATATATATACTAGACTTAGTATATGTACTGTAGTTGCTGAATTGGAAGAAAAATGCAAGACCTTTTTTGATGATGAAATATAAAATATATATAGCAAAAGAAAACGTAATTTAGGGAATAATATGCAGTTATCAGCCAAAAATTACAAATATAAATGACCCTTTTTTCATAAATATTTGGTATTGTGATCTTACCTGAAGGATCAAAGGCCACCCTATTAGCTGGGTAGGGTCCCACGTCTATTGTAGTCATGGGTGCCACAGTGCGCACATCCCACAACTTAATAATGCCATACGAGTCACATGAAGCAATAGTGTCACCCTGCAAAAGAATCAAACATAGTAGCAAATTCACATATAATTAAGCAAATAGCAAAAGTATATAAAGATACATGTATATGTACAACAAGGACTTCAGGTTGGATTATAAAATTGTTGAGAATTAAGTAATACTTTTAATTTCAATAGAAAGCCACTCACCTTGAGATTGAAGACACAGTGGTTGATGGAGTGCATGTGACCATAGAAGGTCTGGGCACACAATCCCTGAAATGACAGGAAAACATTAGATGTGGCATCTATACAACCACATGTGAACAGTTTTTTTTCTTTCTTTACAGCTTTTGATTATTCATCCATAATCTTTAAAATAGGATAAATACATTTTCATACTACTACAAAAAAAAAAAAAAAAAAAAAATCTAAGATGAATATTTTTAATTAAAAATAAACACCTCTTCAAAAATTTCATGAATTATTTAATTAATGAACAGTGAAACCAATTTGGCTAAACAATTCATCACAATATTGCAGTTAATGAGTGTAACATTTCAACTGTCATACCAAGGATGGGAAGTTATCGAAACTGATATGCGCATTGTAACTTTACTTAAACATTCAATTTTGACAAACTGAATCCGGAAGGAAATCTGCCAAACCAGCAACACACACATGCACATTATTTCTCATGTCAACATGACCAAAAGACCTGAACACGTGTATCTAGCGTTGGCCAGACTTACCGTCCTGGCGTCCCACAGTGACAGAGTCTTGTCAGCGGAACACGTGGCCAGAGTGTTGGAGAATGGCAGGAACTCGATACTGTTCACAGAGTCAGCATGGCCACGCAGAGTAAACCGGCAACGCAAACTGGAGACAAAGATTTATTATAAAAAGATTAAATATTTTTTATAGTATGAGCTACATGTACTGACAATATGATCTGAGCAAGGAATAGTAATGTAATAGTAATATGCCTGTGCATATAATATAAATTTTAAGCAGTGTACTTCACATTAAGTTAGGACTTTACTGTTTACCTGGCTCTAGCAGATGGGGACAATGAACACATAACGATACACAGATACACAGTAGGAATTAATTTTAGTTACTTTTCCTTGCTCAGATCAAACATTTGAGTAAAAATCTGTTTGAATATCTACAGCAATAACAGTCAAACTAATTAAACTGACACATCAATCCATTTTGTTTGCTATTTTACTGACAAAATAAATTATTTGTATGTTTAAGTAACACATAATACACATACTGCACTGTACTAGATACACACGTATAGATGCAAATGTATACATGCTTTGCACAGTATGAGTGTGTGTGCATGCAAATGCATGTGTGCAAGTATGAATATTTGTGCATGTTCTCATATGTGTGTGTATATGTGGTGTTACCTGTTGAGATCCCAGACTTTAGAAGTGTTATCCATAGAGCATGTAGCCAGGAAATCCCCACAGGAATGCCAAGAGCAGCCCCACACTGGGAAAGAACATAGATAGAAGGTACTACATAATACACTGCATATATCACACCAAAAAATTCATAAAACAAACTAAAGTCAAAACTAGGTCTTAATTTTAAGAATAAAATTTGGTCTCGTCAAAAAAAAAAAAAAAAAAAAGGCAAGAGTGACTTAAATGGCCCTTTTACCATTGTACTATAAAGACACAATGGCAGTATTGAAATGACAGCTAATTAGTATATCACAACAAACAGCTGTACATATGAACTGCCGTACCTGCGTGGGTATGGTCCATAAAGGTGTGCACACATTCTGCCTTGGCAAAGTCCCAGATCTTCACTGTGGTGTCTCCACTGGCTGTAGCCAGCTTGGCACCCCTGGAAAAGACAAACAAAATATTGTTTATTATCAAAAGACATAAAAAACTGTAAGATGCTGTTGTATGGTTCTAAGCAATGTAAATAGGGACATACAACAGGAGTATCTATGCACTTAAAGGGACACCAATGAGAGATTTTCAATAACACTTAAGCATCAAATTTTTCTAAACAGAAAAGTCCTAAAAAATTGACTACTTGCCAATTGGTTCTTTTTTCCACAAAAAAAGCCACCGCTCAACAGGCATGGCTGGAGGGATTTTTTTTTTTTTTTTTTTTTTGCTATGAAGTCACAGTCAGACACCTACTCTGTGTGGTGCTATTTTCTGCAAAAACGCCACTGAACAAAAGGTGTGGCTGAAGGTGACTTTTTTGCTGAGAAAGTCTGAAATCAACTGGCAATTACTGCAGCACCACTTACGAGGGGTGGAAGTCACAGTCGGACACCCAGTCTGTGTGGCCCTCTCCTGTCATAATGATGTCCCCACTGGGAATAGCCCACAGCTTCCAGGTGTGGTCATCACTGGTGGTCGCCAGGATCTGCTTGCGAGGGTGGACAGCAACGCTGAGGGTGGAATTAATCTGAGGTTATTGTCTAGAATAACTATCATAATTATAATACATGTTACAAGTGCTACTGAAATCAATTTGATTAGTTCAAGCGAGTGGGAACTTAATTTTAAATGTTGGTGTGAGTGTATATGTGTGTGTGTGTGTTTGGGAGGGGGGGGGGGTGGAGGTGGGTTCATCTTATTCCCCCTGATTCTTGAAGTTATGAGTTAATTTTTTGTAATTATAGCTACTAGTGAAAGAAAAAAAATTAAGATGGCACCTTGTTTTCCTAACCCTTGTGAATATGGTTAAAAAAAGATTGAGGCTATTCACAATTAAGGCTGTTTCTTCGACTTTAACCCCTGAAACTCTGACAAAAAAAATGACAACCAATTTATCTTCTACATCAGACTTAATCTGCATAGACCTTACCTGACGACTTACCTGCTGACTGCGTTAGAATGGGCCTGGAATGTGGTGGACAGCCGGAACCCTCCCGTCCTGGTCAAGTGTCCAGAGGGTGCCTTGACCTGGGTCAGGTAGGGGTTGACCCCAGTGTCGGGGGGGAAGGGGGTATCCTGGAATGATGCAAAACAGGTGTGATAAAATTAACAATGACATAGGAATAAAAATATAAATAATGAATTTAATGTAGTGAGGTATAAATGGTACAAAGTTGCATTTGCCAGTTCTTTACATTATAAAACATTACACTAATATTACAGATGTTATGCATAAAACAAAAATGCAAATATCATGAAAAAAAAATAAGCATATTGTGTAAATGCCAACAAACAGAACATAAAAGCGCAGGAGACTAAAAGGCTTTTAAACCAGACAGAGACACTTTGACAGTCTTTAAAGTGGCCACCAGTACATTTTAGCCTATGTTCAGTTGCACTGTACGTTGTTGTAAATAAATGCAAATAATTTGTGGAGAAAAAAATGAAATTATATTGGATGACGAGGGACAAATTAATTTGCCAGTAATTTCACCAAATACTCTTTATAACCAAAAGGAATAAGTAAAACCATGTGTATTACATTAGGATGTGAGCTGGTTGGTGGCAGGGACTCTTCCATGGTTTTAGATCTTCTCCTCTCCTCTGCTACTGCTCTCTGTGTGGGTCCTCTGCCCTCCTTGTCTACGTACAGCACTGTCCCCTTCTCACACAGCCTGGTGGAACGTGCACTCAACTCTGGAAGATGAGAAGATTCTAGGCTGAATGCAAATTATTCTGAGACCTATCATGATTTTGCTTTCTTTTGATCTCTTTTTTTTTCAATAATGCTACATGTTTGCATGTATTTAGACCAATGGAGACATGCATATCACTGTAAAATAATCAATAAAAATAATTAAAAGTTGCTTTTTTCCCTAAATTTAGCCATTTGAAGAAAAATGAATAATAAACAAAATAATGAATGAATGCATATAAATCTAGAACAATTACTTAAAAGATTACTATACAGTGATACTCAAATACGTATACCCTACCTGACGTTTTTTCAGCAGAGGTCCCGCGATAAGCCTCCATGTTTCTGAGCGTGCTCTGTAGGCCTGTCACCTGACCCATAGCACGGTCGCGCTCTAACTTTGTCAACATTTTTTCCTTCATGGCCACCTCATATTTCTGCTTTAGTTGTCTCAGAGTCGGCTCATAAGAAGTGTAATGCTTCTTCAGTCTGAAGGTAAGAGATTATATAATATCCAGTCATACCAGTACATCTACTGGGTTATTTACATTTTGTATAAATAGTACTAGTACACATGACATTGTATATTTGCTTTCTGCTTGAATATTATAAATACATTGAAGAACCTGCACTTTTTAAACATGACATTGTACTATGTACATCTGAAGTACACGTCATGTAGTATCTAATTTTTTGAAAACTCATTAATCTGGAATACTTGCTTGTATTAACACATTTATTAATTTCAAAAACATCTCATTTCAGAATTGAATGAAAGATAAACTGTTCTTTACAGAAAACATTATTAAGATATAATTAGTTTGTGTAGACACATAATAAGTAGGAGTCTACCAGAACTAAGGCTGTTACATGTAGTAACAGTTTTCAATTTCTCCCACATAAAATGCCATAATTACCTTTTGATATCTGTAATAAGCTTGTTCTTCTCTTGCACGACCCGTTTGTGGTGCATGCGATGATAATCTCGTTCTTTTCGCAACTTGACATAAGTGTCTTTGGCTTTCCTGTAATGACAAAATAGTCATGTAATGACAGGGATTATATAACACATTGTGACAGTAAATAGGAGCTGCATAGTCATCTTAATGGGAGATGCATGTAGGTACATGTACACTTGTATGCTGTTAATATGGGCAAAATTGGTCAAAATAGCTTTTCTCCTATTTCTGTCATGTAAAATACCTAGACTAGATATAAATACTATAAAATTAAACACTTTGAGCAAATTTTCCCTTTTTCGTTGTTTAATTCACCACCCCACAAGCTTCTGTTTTTAATCTCTGCCCCTGTTTATTGTTAATTTAACTGCTTTGTAAATTGACTTAAGATAGTGATCAGTTTGCGGTGTAACTCTGTAACTACATGTGATTCAAATATCATCATGAAAATTGGTGTGGTTGATGACAAAGATGAGATCTACAATTTGTTACCAGCATTTGCCTTTGAAATTTTTTGTTCATGAGATATGAGCTCTAATTAAGAAGTTCCATCAAACAAAGTCATTATTTCACCTCTTTACTGATAAAATCAGAAAAAAAAACATTGAAAAAGAAACCTTGGCACAAAATTGTAGAACTTATAATATTGTAGAACTTAAACAGGCTTTGACACGATGTTGATAGATGTATATGTTCAAGTGAGAGGAGATCTGCTTAAATTCGAAAACAATTTTCAACACAAAACCACTGCTGTTGTGTCATCATCAAATTCATCTTGATGTATTTTTGATGTGAAAGCATTATCTCATAACATGACAAGGTTTATTAACTTTATATCTGCATTATCTGAGCAGATAAGAAAATAGATCTTTATGTACTAATTCCCCTAAACTACATAAATCTTCATGTTATTGTGGTTTATTAAACTGGCCAAAATGCAAGGATTGGCGTGATTCTATGTGGGCTAATGAGAGCTAGGCTGAGGTGTAATCAAGTGATCAAAATGTTTACATGTTGCTAATTACTGATAACAATTTGAAGTCATTTCTTTGTCTTCAATCAAGTTCACTGTATACAAAGTATTCATGTACATGTACCAAGCTATCCTAAGTCCTTAAAAAGAAATCAAATCTCATTTCTCCCAAATAAATACCAAGGGAATCAATTTATTTTCATTGGGAGAGATATTGCAGTGACAAAGGAAGAGCACAGAGACACAGCCATATTCCCATAAACCTAGATGTTTACTCCACAGGCTTGGAAGCAAAACGTTTCTACCCAAACTAGAGGGGAGTGGAGTGGAGTAGGAGAATGGTCACACTGGAATAGAGCCCTAGTTCAGTCACTTACAGGGCAGCCTCCTTGTATTTGTCCACTTCTTTCCTCAGGTGTTTTACTTCACTGTCCAGCTGCTGGTTCTTGGTGTAGATGTCCGGCACCACCCCAATGTCCTCCTCATTCAGCTCTCCTTTCTGCTGGAGCTCATACCTGACAGAGAGAGGGTATAACTTCATGTAATAATATACTAAGAGAGATCATACCTAACAGAAAGAGGGTGACACTTCATAAAATTATTGTATACTAGGGCTCTGGTGGTGGTGGTGGTAATTTTAAGCACTGACAGACTCAAGATTTTTATTTTATTTATTTATTCTATTTTTATTTATTTATTTATTTATTTATTTATTTATTTATTTATTTTTCGTGGGGGGGAAGGGAGAAATAAAAAAAATTACCTTGCACTTTAAATATAAAAAGTTAACAAGAGCAATTTTATTGTAATAAACGAGGCACAGGCCTTACATGGAAATATCCTAGGTTTTGTTTCATTACACTTGTCTAACTATAATTATATTTTTTCCTTTTCTTCCCAAGTAGCTGTCAGTCTAGTTTAGCTATTTCTGATTATTTAAACCAAGCTCAATATCCTCAGCCAAAGTATAGTAGACTTAGTCTAATTTTTTTCAGGATGAAAAGCTAAGACTAACATTTGATAACTGTGTAGTAAATAGTTTTAATTATACTAGTAAGCATGGAGAATCTGTTTAAAATGAAAAATTGTCTGAACAGAGTATATTTACCATTCTGTCTGAAAGTAGTCCAGTGTTTTGTACAAATTCATTTTCACCAGGAAGTTCCTGACAAAGTCATCGACCACCTCCGGCTTGGTGGACACCGAGGCTCGGGGAGGCGCACTCTTCTTTTCCTGGAAATCAAAATAATTTTTTAAAAATAAAGTAGAGAATATACAATTATTTCTCTAATTTTGTGAAAATATAAAATAAATAATTTTTGCTAAATACTTGAAAATAAGCTTTTTGGCATCTTCCTTATAAATAGTCTATTTTTTCCAAGTAAAAGGGCAAATTTTAAGTATCAAAATAACATTCGCTTCCACCACATGGAACACAAGCCTGCAGCTCATTATACAGAACAATCACATGTTCATCAAGTGCCTGGCCAAAACACTCAGCATATTACTGCACAAATTGCTTCTCCTCTACAGCATAAGCTCAACTGGATCATGTAAAACAAAAATGAAAAACCAAACAAATAGCTATAATTACCGTTGCCTGGGTATCCTCTTGTGATTCTCGTATGGTCCTAACAGCAGCATCAAGATCATCATCTAACTCTGAAAGAAAAAAGAAAATGGATGATAAATGGAGACACAATGATTGCATATACCCGTACGTTTGTACATATAATTTAAGACATTTAATGGAAACCATCCTAAATTGCAGAAGCCAGGCAATTCCATCTATTTTGACTTTCCATCTACTTCGAATTCTTTAACAAAACTGAATAATAGTTCAATGAAGAGTGGCAAAGAAACATGTACATGTACCTGATGTTCTGGTTGGAAGCAAAATGTAACATTTAGTGTTTACAGTTTGTCCATGTGTGTGTATGTGGGGGGGGGGAGGCAGGGGTGATGAGGGAGGTAATCATCCTGCATGATGTTGTGATATATGACGGCAGTGTTTCATAGATAACATAAGAATTAAATGTTTTGCTATCTAACAGTGAAATCAATGGCTGCAGAAAAATATTGAAAAATTGATTTTTAAAATAATAGGACATTTATTGTGAGCTTACCAACAAAATCTTCATCGATAGGCACCTCTTCATATTGGTAATCTTCATCAGACTCATATACTATTTCCTGATCTGAGGATACTGTTAAGGATACCCAACAATCTTACACATAACTAAACAAAAATAAAAACAAAAGCAAAAAAGGACATGCATTTAAAGCAGCATGAAAATTAAATGTGTCAGTTTAGAAATCGAGTCGCTTTGCAAATTTTTCAGGAATAAAACTGTAAATGTTATGCAAGTCACACTGAAAATAATATTTAGCAGTTACAACTGAAGAACTGGAGTAAGAATAGCTGCTAATTTAGCTTTTCTTTGAATAAACTACAAGTGTAGTAATAACTTTGGCTTGTCACTGATGCCAATGGAAATAAAGGTTTGATGAATGTAAGATGCATAACATATATATATCAAAAATCACCAATTCGTGAGTATTAAAGTAAATGTCTTCATATTTTCAATAGGAAACATCCTTAAACGACAAAACACTTAGCATAATAGCAAAAAGGATACGTTCTAAGTAGAATGCTCGATCTTCGGCAGCCATCTTGTTTGCCTTTCGTTGCTATGTCAGAGCAGTGCGCACGCGCAAACTACGACTTCCTCTTAAGTGCCTTTGGTGTCCTTGGAGTGTGACGTTGGGATGATGGGGATGGGTATATTTTTAGTTGTAGGCTAGTGAGAGAGAGAGAGAGAGAGAAAGAGAGAGAGAGAGAGAGAGAGCCTTGTTGTACAGAGAAAAAAGATCTGTTGTACAGAGAAAAAAGATCAAGCGCATGCCCAAGCTGCACCTACCTTCAATTTTAAGATTATTTTAATTAAAATAATTAAAATAATCTAAAGTTTGGGCGATTTTTTCAGTGGACCTACTGATTGTTCGAAGTTAAGGGTTGTGATTGGTGAAATTAGAAACACGACAGCAAGGTTATAGGCCTACAGTTAAAGATGCACAGTCAATGTTTTGCCACAAAAGCCAACCAAATGCAAGCATACCGTTTCAAGTAGTATTAGGCCTACTAAGAAAATAACGGCATTTTTTAATTTTACCCCCCAAAAATTATATTTGGACGGATTTTTCTGCTAGCATTCTATGTTGTATATCCATGGGACAGAAAAGTAGGTCAGGAAAGTAGTTTCTGGTCAAACATTTAAAGAAAGGAGCAGTTTGAAGCTCTTTTATGGCTCAACGAGTGATTTATTCAGTTTATCCCTTGGCAAGTCGAATTTATCTGAGTCGTATAAGAAACTAGTAGAAGCGGTTTATATATATGTTACTGGGGATCCACCCTCCACCGATGCTCGGTTCATACAGTAGGCCTACGAACGAAATTGTTTCCTTGCCTAATCGCACATATTTGTCACCTATGCGGGCCTGTAGGCCTAAATTAATTATGTGAGGCACTAGGCCCTATACATATAGTTTTCCTTTTGTGAGCCGAACAAAATTGTTTTCTTTTATGACTTTGAAATAAGCTATGAATTTGATGAAAATCTGTTGCCTGAACATGACAAAGACAAGTTAATTTCAGGGAGAATCGAAATGAAAGATCTGCCAAGTATTAAATTATTATTTTTAAAAAAGAAAAAAAAACGTTTTATATATCTTTTGCAAGTTGTTTATTATTCTTATAGTGACTCAATAATTTAGATCTATGGCTGCTTATTGTGATGAAATGAATTTTAAATAAAGTTGTTGTTTTTTTTCAGTCTAAATTTGTTTCATTCACAAAGCTATTGAAAATTGATATGCATCAGACAAATAGACTGTAAAGTAATAGTTCTATAAAAAGGAAAAGTTAGCGAATTTTTGACCCAAACCTTTTTTGTGATTGATTAGCATAATAATACTTAAATAAGGATAAATGGCCCACGAGAGTCCGTTACCCGTTTACAATTGCCATGCAATGTCCGTACGCCGAGGGGATAGCGCAATGCCATCTCGGTATTTTTTACGGTCTACGGGCTTACGATTTTAAAAATTGTCTATAGTTACAGCTTGACAAAATCGTAGAGACTGCGGAGGCCTTAAATCCGTGCGATTCCGTGCGATTTCGCACGGCCACCGTCTACCTCCGCTCAGACGCCGTACGAAAAGTGAATTACGGGCATTATACGTACATCGTACGGCCTCGCATTTCAAATTTAAACTCCATTTTACAACCATCTTTTGCCAACTTTATTTGTACATCGCAAATCCTGTACTTGGGCTTGTTAGCCAAAATTATCAGTAGACAATATCTGATATCGAAGAACTCCTCTTTTCATGATTGCATGTAATAAAGTCAGAGCTGTTCTGAATCTTGAATATGATATATCAATATATAAGGTCCTTTGATAAGGAAGTCACAAGGAGGAAAAAGACAAGGTACTGCTTCTCATTTACCGCAGGGTATCTATTCTTCATAGGGCTCCCCGAAAACCACGAGAAACGCGGATCCAGAAAATGAAAGGCCGGGGCAGACAGCCCTCCCGCACTCGAGCGACAGCTGCACGTCGTCAGGCTTGGTTCTCACGCCCTGCTGCCTTTGCCAGCTACGCACTATGTTCCCCGGTAGCTGCACCTTCAGGCAGATACGGTGCCCACAGGTCGCAGGATTACACAACGGGGACACGCTCACACGGCACCGAATTCTGACCGGTCCGAGCCACCGCGGCTGTCCAGCTTCCAGACCACAGGAGACGGGAGGGATTTGCCCGCTGCGAAGGTGGATGGGAAGAGTGACTGGGACATAGAGTTCTCCTCGAGTTGGAAAGGGTGATTTCTCAAAACGGACGTCGAATGTAGCAAACTGGTCTCGCCTGTTGTTAACATCTGTAGAGGTAAAAGTTGTATTAGCATTTTTTGTGTTTTATTATATGATTATAGACTTTGTGTTTCGGGCATCTCTGGGATATATTCTATTCCAAGGTGAAACCTCTACCGTCGGCGTCGGTCAATTATCCCAGCTTCGGGTCGAATATGTTCCCGAGATGATCACACTCAGAGTCAATTATTATATTATATTATATTATATTATATTATATTATATTATATTATTGCGCGAAAAAGTTGACCTCATCATAGTTTCAGCTATACATTAGATTTTTTTCATTAATCTCACGTATATTGAAAACAATATACCAAGCCAAACATTCTCTAATAACTCGTCTGTGGTAAACCCGAAACATAAAACCACACTGCTTTCATTTTCACCTGAGCATGAATGTAAAAAGTGCCTATTATTGACACATTTTGAATAATAGAGAGAAAGACTAAGAGTACATGGAACACACGAATTGTGTGGGAAGCACACTCGCATTTGCGTTTAGTAAAGTGTTTCTAAGCAGTGATTCTGTTTCACTTTGGAACAAAAAATAACTGCAGTTCGTGGCGACTTCCTGGTGCAAGGAAACTGTAATAACGTGAGTCATGTGTTTTAGAATGACAGCTAATGATGTAGGCAGAGTGCGATATGAGACACATATACGTGCGGGTTATTAAAACCTCATGCCTTAACAGTTCTTAGGACTTACAAAAACAGATACCACTTAAACTGTAACAAGGACATAAGTGATATTTTAAGACAGGGCCTCATAAACGATAATTGATGTCTTCTAAGGCGGCACGTACTTTCGACATGGACCCAGGTAATTGTGTCACGCACCCCGTGTTTGCAATTGATGGCTCAAAACATACATCTTCTGAACAGGTGCGCTCACTAGTGGTTTTCTTTTACATACTTAAACACATTCCCCTTACTATATTACATAGATCTAGAACTTCCCTTCATCGAAATGTAGCCTATATCTTTACTTTTTAATAAAATTACTAGAAGGTGTATATATATTAAGAAAATTTCTGCATGCCGCTAAGTGTACAGGTATCTTTGGGTTAATACTGGACATTCTAACCACTACAACTTTAAATATGGAAGCATGTAGAGTTCAGTCCAGGCCAGTGATAAAAATCAAGGTTTAACCTAGAACAGCTACAAACTTGGCAGATTCATATATAATGGAGCATACTTGCACTTACCTGCCTAATCCCTTATCCAGACTATACTGTAGTTTCAAATTGCAAAAATAATACTTCGTCCAATGTATAAGCAAACTACCTTAGTCTAAACTAGTCATATTACATAAATTATGATTATGTTAGTCAGACTGATTAAACACCGGCCCATATCTGTCTGAATCTGATGCTGTTCGAAAATTAAGACAACATTGACCCAAAAGCGCCTTTAACCTAGTTACTCTTTGATCGACGGTCAAAACTATCTTGGCACAATTTCAGTGGCCCCACAGACCCGATGGGCTATTTTTTTTTTTTTTTTTTTTTTTTTTTTGGCTATCCTTAATCGGGCCACTGTCGATTCATGACAGGGTATCCCACAGCCCAGCCCAGCCCAGCCCTCCCCCCCCCCCCAGCCAAATCAGAAATAGATACCATTCACCCATTCACTTACTGGGCAATTTGTTCCTATAGGCTACCGAAGACTGCGGTGGGTTGGGCGTTAAGATCATTTGGCTCCTCATGTACGCTTCTCGGTTACATTCTGAGCTCAGTAAATGGGTCACCGTCAAAGGGCGGCTTCGGGGACCTAAGAAAATTGTAAATGATATTAAAAATCAATGCCAATGAATTTAAAAGTGCACAGTGAGAAAAAGACTTTTATGTAGTAAGTAAGAAAAAAAATTTTTTTTAGAAATTTTAGCAATCTGGTCTTAATTACGAGGGCCTACCATATCCACAACCGTTCACAGATATGAAGGCCATAATATTGAGTTTTGAATTATTATAATTATTATTTAAAAGCTGAACGCGTATTACTTGCGTCATAACGATGAGAGATTGCCAATAACAGAAAATAATGTAAATCATATACTTGAATTATAGTGAAAATATAGATACGAACTTGGACATCCGGCGGATCTTGCTTATTTTGTGTCAAGGAATTGTAATTTAGGTTAACATCGAAACTAGTATAAAGTCAAACGCAAGCCTATAGTAAATGCCCAACGTCAATGGTCCAGAAAAAAGCAAATAAAACCATATACACATACATTCAATATAATGGGGCACTAACAATTTACATTTGCCGGCAAAAGGGATGAACTATCGAAAACATTTCTCCACAATATTACCAAAGCCCATAAAATACACCATCTTCAGCCTGAGACAAATAAAATCATGTCATATAATCTGCATCAAACTCAAAAATATACCGTACCAAAATCGAGAACTATCAAATTTTCAAAGACCCTAATTCCATAGGAACTGAACACTTTAAAGAACTAACCCAACTTTATAGTGCGTTTTTAATGAAATGTATTTTTAAATATCCTCAAAGCACCATATGTTTTATGTGTTCATTTGAGACAATTTTCCAACGCTTACCAATAGATTTTTCTGGGGTAAACAACAATTTTCTCATATTTACCAATGATAAATAAATCCGTTCCGACAAACGTTAGTCATGCAGCAGCATATCGTCTTCTAATTACCTAATACCGCAATTATTTCCGATCATCTTTGAAAGTCAGTTCATGTGTTTTGTCTAACGAGATTAATTCGCTTTTCTTTTGGGTGAGTCATTGTGTTAGAATTATCGTGCTTAGATGTTGATTTGGGAATGTGACTGTGTAATAAAAGTCACAACTTCTGCACATGACAGTGCACGTCTTGCCAGACAAATATGTAGCAGAACCTATGTAACGTGACAGAGTCCCTCGAGATAGAGAGTCCGCTTCCCATTCATTGTATTGGTAAGATTCGCGCTAAATTTTGGCCCACTTAGGCCAGGCTAACCCCAACCATTTTAAGTAAATCAAGGGCGAACTTTCTGTTACACGAACCCTCGGTTTCGTTACACTGGCACGACCGCTTACCTTATAATATAATTCCAATTGTGTAATTATGCAGCCTATTTACTTATTAATGTGTAGCTTATTTATTTATGTAACGATGAAGTTAGTTGTATATGTCCGATGATTGTACCTTATTTGTGAAGGTACAGGCTATATGAATAAAGAAACCTGACTTTATATAGCAGTAAACTCTTAATTGTGTCTTGATTTCAAAATGCACGGCCATGAAACAAGTGTTACAGACTTTGCGTTTCGGTCAACTCGACAAATTATTGACCCTCAGCTGTGATAATTTGACCTCATCCAAAGTCAATAATTATATTTTATTATCATTTCAGTTAGTCAAAAAATCTCAAATATGGTGTTCCTCGGGTGTTGGAGCGGGGTCCGGTACTTTTCGCTCTATGTCTCCCCCCTCCCCCTACTAGAAGTTGGTTGCCAATTCGGCAAACGATTTCATGTCTTTCAGTCCCAATCGAAATTACCCAACTCCAACTTTCAGCTTCGACAATTTTTAACTGAAAAGCCTTACACAAGTCGAACAACAAATAATCCTGATTGCAAAATAATAATAATGATAATAATAGATATATAACATAAGTAAACTGATACAATCTTAGGAAATTGACAATCAAACTAAAGCTATTAAAATGCACACGTGTTAGGCGTACCTTCATCAGTCGCCGCAAGGTGTATCGAGCATACTACCAGCAACGCAACCATGGCTAGAGAAATCTTCATGCTGGAGGAAGGTTCTTCGTTTCGCAAATGCATCGTTGTGTCTAATTTTGCGTGTATTTATACTATTTGTGACGCATGCACGTTCACAATTTCATTCCAGTCGTCACCAGTGCATTGTGGATGTTGTGGTGCATACAAGGATGTGAGTGAGACATAAAATTATGGCCAGACTTGTTTCTCGGAAAAGATTTATTGGAAATCTTGCTTTCAAAGTTGCATAAAAAGTTTTTTTTTTACGAAAGTTGTTACTAAACAGTGTCCCGGTAAGTTGAACATACAAAGTTAGGAGTGCAAGAAAAGTTACCTAACTGCCGTCTTTTAGATGGGGAGGGGGGTGCATTGCTTTTGCCAAAAATTGAGATTTTGTTTTTTTTTCTTTTCAATCGCCCCTTATACATATGAAATAAAGTAATTCATGCTATTTCGTTTAAAATAAAGATTTTTTAATTAAGTGAATAAATCAATGATTTAAACCGATGGTTCATTCATGGCAAATAGATGCAAACAATCATGTGTCGGTTTGCTTTAAATTTCATCTTGATTGGCGTAGTGAAAGTGGTTTGGTAAACCATTACAAAACACTCCAAACTGAGACGGCGTCAAAAGAGCTGAGGCCGTATTCTCGAAAGTTTTCGATTTCGATTTTTTTTTTCGTTTTCGATAGCTTCGAGAGAACCCTCCTGGACTAGCAGAATTAAGCCTAATGTGATCATTTTCATATTCAATCTAGAATTTTCATTGATTGCTTAGGAACATATCGAAAACACTAATTTTCTTTATTAAAAGTCTTAGATTGAAAACCATTGAAGAAAGGACTAATTTCATGTTTTTTGTTGATACACTAAAAACTGGAAAACATGGAAATTTAAGATATCGTTTGTGGTCCTTATTAGAAACCACAATGGCAGTGACAAGAACGGTGGAGAATTCGCTGAAACAGAAAATTGCGTTTTGTCGACAAAGCTATCGTGTCTGTTACATAATAACAGAAATTTGAGAACAGGGCTTTTAGTGAAAATATACTTATCTCCATTATAAGAGCGAGTGAAAAACGAGAAACTTAATTCTTTCTCAAAAACGGGATGGGTTGCAACAAGTAGAAGGGTGCCTTGGGTATAGTTTACCTTGATGGTTTTGTAAGGGGGAATGTTGAAATTTCTAGGAAAAGTCGATGGTTTGCAACCGCACCGCATTTTGTATTGAATATCATGCCTGGATTTCGATCTCAACCGTTAATTAGACATAAAAAACCTACTAATTGAAAGGTGTTACCATGAAGGTGGGATCGGTTTGGGGGGGGGGACAAGTGTTGTATTATAGAACTCGTTTTATAGAACAAAATGATTAGAAATAAAACGAAAGAGAAAAAATCAAAGAAAATGCCTCGATGTCGTGTAACCTTGCTTAAAATTTATTTATTTGTTTGTTTGTTCATTTATTAGATAAAAAAGAACTGTAGTTAAGGGTTGTAAACCGACCAAGACGTTCCATCCACACCAAAGTCCAGCATAAACATACGTTTCTTAGTCGATTAAAATAAAGTAACCACCGGTGTAAAACATCAACCAGTTTCTCTTATCTATTTTAAACGGGTCACTAATCATCACATGTAGACTATTACTGATGGAACGTGGGACACTGAAGACGAAAACCATTTCTATTTCATGTTCTTTTGCGAACGTACACACAGACACGAATGACCTTCTTGAGTAAATCATTGAAAGAAGTTGTACCAAGGAAGAAAACAACAGTTCATAAGACCTACAAGTGAAAAACTGAGGAATTTGATTAAATTTCATACCATAGCGTGGACCTCACAGTGGATAATTGTGTCATGAATTATACATAGATATCTGCGAATATCTAGAGGAAAACCTATCCTGTCCCGTAGCCATCAATTTCCAAGCGGGGTATTTTTTTGAAAAAAAAGTGGATACTTTTACCATGAAACCTACCTGTACCTAGATCAAATTTTCCCAGATCGGACATTTATTCGGCAGAAAAGGGAAGTTCGTTCAATACGAAGCCCCCTGGCTACGGGCATGATATCTGTGGCCCTGGTAGAGAGTAGGAGTTTCAAATGTCTTGCAATGGAATGCCTAATTACACCGTATTGCAATGATATTGTAGCTGTCCAATGTATTGTGGTCATCGGGGAAGAAGCCAACGCCATATATTCAACCTGAATTTCCCTACAGACAGGTGGGATATTAGAAGATGTATGGAAACAATATATTATTTATTATGTGTTTATCTAACATTGACATTACTACGTACATGTATGTTATCATTTTAGAAATTATCGTAAAATCTTCAGAACTCTTAACTATGATTAAGTTGCTGCATACACTAGGCTAAGACAGGACAAATGTGCGTCGCAATGAAATCGATATATTCGGCTTTACCACTCTTTTCGACGCTTAACGTTTTCAGATTGTATACCGAATCAGTTCCCGACGCCGAAGTAACAGAGGTATCACTACATATACTCAAACGTTTGAACCCATGGTTATAATTTCTTTTCAACATCACGTTGTCTCTCAGCACGGGCTTCGCCGCCATCATCCAAACTTTCAAGATATAGAAATTGGTACGGGAGGGGTGGGGGTGTTCTACCACCTCTTTATAATTTCAGAATATATGTACCATTTGAAAATAAAACTCACGGGAAATAAAAAATAAAACGTTTATTATTTCTTCTTCTTAGAAGTGAGATACATATATATAGAAACAATTAAAAATACATAGAATATATGAAACATTTGGCAGGATTTGTGAATGACTGAACAAACAAGAACCATAATTCCCAACCATAAACATGCGACCTAATTATGGAAATCCAATTTAATACCGTTATCCTTTTACGTCATCTCAAACTACCAACAAATCAGTCTTGCGTAAGAGAAAGAAAATGATTTACAAGGGATCTGGCAGTTTGCGGTAATACCAGCGACTAAAATGTCACAAGGCAATCTTGGTAGCATTGAGAAAATTGCCGGAAAACGATTAGACTGGTTATCCGCCTCCCCGCAAAAATAATCTCAAAACGAAGGCAAAAACAAACATGAGGAAATACTTTGTTCTTGGACAGAATAAATGCTGAAATGATCACAATTTAAGTCACCAGATGCTAATTTTCGTTTCATTGGGTCACTTCGACCTCGACAGATCTGAAACTAAACTAATCCTTTGTTTTCACTCCAATACCTACTTGCACCATGAATACCACTTAAAAACGGTGAAAATATTCATACTTGTTTAGGCCTGCTTATTTCATCACAATCTTCCAATAAATATGATACAGATAACAATAGTTATCATATAATTTGTACATGAGACAGACACAGAATAATGATACGCAAAGACATTCATTCTTTTTAGGCACCATTTCTGAATTCTAAGAAAACACCTTATAAACCCGGATTAACATTTGTCACAAAAAATTAAAACCATGTGCCTTGCCTTCATATATATATATATATATATATATATATATATATATATATATATATATATATATATATATATATATATATATATAATACAAACTCTACATTTTAAATTTGTTCGACGTTGTTAATTTCCGCAAGGTTGTCGCAGTGAAAAAATATCAAAAAGTTTTTTTTTCTTTAATGAAACAAAAAAAAGAAAAAACCTACAGTACATCTATACACCTTAGTGCTGCTTTACATCATATACTTATTTTACTTATGTCTAAATATACACCAGCCTAAAATAACTCTGTGCGAAAGAGATCCATAAATCAGAAATAATTAGGTTCTCTGGCCGCAATATATTAAAGTTGAACCACTGCGTTCGGAGGCGTTCCACAGATAAACAAATACCACTAATAAAAAACCCTGATACCACACAACCAAAGACACATGCTTGGCCATTGTCAACAGTTGGTGGCGGCGGACAGAACCAAGAAACACAAGGAAATGGATAATGCTCTCAAAAAATGTGGCTAATATTCATAACCCTGCCCCCACCTCCCCAAACTCAAACATCACATAGGCGGGAATCCCAACCGGAACATCACCACAAAAACTAGACAACAGTGTTCTATTAGACTAAATAAATAAATAAATAAAATTTCATGAGCCGCTGAGGTGGCCAGCCACTACAGCAGTTCAGCGTGAGATGTTCAGCGCTCGTGTTCCGGTAAACTATCGTTTAAAAGAAGGTAAAGACCACTTACTCATTAAATACATGTCACTAATCACGAACTCTTCCAAAAAATAATGAAATAAATAAAATAAAACTAATAGTTTACAGTGGAGTTAGTTTAAATGCTGGTACTCATGATTTGCAATAACTCAATAGTAACCAAATACAGTTAACCGGTCGGTGATCAGTGAACCGTGCTGTTGACGAGTCGCTAAGTAGATCTAATGCATCATCTTGTTTCATAATCTACGCACCAACAACTTTATCTGTGTCACTAATGGTAAATATGCACTAACAATTGGAAACATTATCATTCAGTTTTAAGAAAGGCTCTAAAAAGGATCCTTTGTGAAGAAATATTTAGTTATCAACATTGCACTCTGTCTCTACTAACACAAAACTTCTTTGCTAAACTTTCTGTAAGTGCACAGTGGCCGTCAGGTGTTGGCTGATCTCACGTTTGCGGGAAAGGGAAATACGAAACATGAACGCTGCTCAACCGTGGTTCGCCTCCAATAATGCCACAAAAAATAATTTATATAATAAGATTTTGACAAAGCAGTAATTATTTCCCTTCCATGCCTCTACATTTCAGACAAACATGTAAAAGCAGTCTACTTCATTTCCCCACAAATTCTCTTGGAACATCTCATATTCACTCTTTTCATTAAGCCTGGCATCTTCCTGCCATTTAAATAAATGGTTTTTATGACCACAAATGATTCTTCTTTCTGTTTCACTAGCATCACCATAAACAGAAGCTATCATTCTGCAAATTGAACTGTTTCATAAAAAATAATCTTTCCCTGCTTAAATAAATAAATATGAAGATAATTGTCCAAAGAATGATCTTTCACATTGGCAACATTGACATGGACGAAAATTTAGAACTGCTACTGGCCATTCAAATTAAGCGTTATACAGCCCTTATGCAAACTAATGAAATCCTACAACATAGAAAGTTTTCATTTTCCCACAGGCACAACTGTTTTGTTTGGGTTAAAAAAAAAAGAGGGGAGGGGGCGGTATTTTTATATTGATGGCGCCAGGGGTATAACGCCTATCCCAACACCCCCGGCATGGGCGCACATAGGGGACACGAAGGTCCAGCAGTTTGTGTTTGGGTCATAAACCTCCACAGAGCTGAGGTTGGACACACCATCGTACCCTCCAATGGCGTACAGTTTCCCACAGTTTGCCGCCAGTGCTACTCGACTGCGCTTTATATTCATGGGCGCCACTTTGGTCCATTGGTTGGTCACTGGGTCGTAACATTCCACAGATTTTAGAAATACTGAGCCGTCATATCCACCACATACGTAGAGTTTCCCGTTCAGAGTGGCCACCCCTAGTCTACAGCGCTTGGTTAACATGGGCGCCACCTGTGTCCATGTTCCCGTCAGTGGATTGAAACACTCCACCTAGAAATAAAAAAATATGCCATCATTGCCTTCATATATGTAAATCACCTTTTAATATGTGTGAGTGTGTGTGTACAATGTATATTGAAAAATCCCATATTAAAAAGAACAGCTACTTATCTACCCTGACTTTTTTTACACATGACAGTGAACTGTCTGAATAGAAAAGTAGCTGTTATTTTTGGGATGAGAGAGAGAGAGAGAGAGAGAGAGAGAGAGAGAGAAGGGGTTGGGGGTGGAGGGGGTGGGGTATTATGCTGTACTAGCCGAATTCAGATTCAACACTTTTTGCCAAGTTTTGAGATCCACCTCTGACATTCAATCAGCAACTCATCGTCCATGTTGCAGCGACCAGCCACAAAGAGAACACGAAACCCTGCCCCTTATGGTGTTACTCACAGAATCAAATATGGACAGTCCGTCGTGACCACCCAGGGCGTAAATTTGTGTGTCAAAGGTGGTCACTCCAGCCGCACTCCGGTGCTTGGTCATATTAGAAACCATATTCCATCTGAAACAATTATAAAATATTTATTAATCTAACTGCAATGGTTTAAATTAAATTTTTCGATAATTTATTTAAGTTTACTTATTATTAAAATGCACATTGGTAAATTTATATAGCAGGCAACTCTCTGATTGAAATATGAAACTTTGTGTTCATATCATACTTACGTGTTTGTGTCTGGATCGTAACATTCCACTGAGCTCAGGGACCCTACTCCATCATAACCTCCGCACACGTACAATTTGCTGTCAACTGTTGCTACGCCAAGAGCACTGAAATAAACAAGATAGATTGAAAAAATAACCAAAAACTTACAGATACAGTTGAGGGTTTATTTTGCCATTATTCCCACTTCTTTAAACCTGCCGTTGGTTTTCAATAAAATCTAAAATACAAAATAAATCATACCATCTTACTGAAAATACAAGTAATTGTTAAACTACTGTTAAAATGTACAGTAGGTTGCAAATGGTTGACCTGTCATGAAAACTTTGCTTCTCACTATTTAATCAGATCGAAAATCACCTTTCTAATTAGGTATACTGAGTATCGGGGCAATCCAACCCCCCCCCCCCGAACAAATCCTCCTTGTAATGAATATAAAATTGAGAATAAACAATGTGGTATTGACAAAAATTATGCTAACTGCCTTTAATAAAAATTCATCCCCAGGGAGAGGATGGATAAACAGATAATCTCACTTATCAAGGTACCCCTTTCATGAACAGAACTAACTACCACCTATAATTGTTTCACCCCCCCCTCCAAAATAAATAAATAAATAATGACTTTCAATACTTTGTTTTCTCATTCCAGTTTCATTCATTTTATTTACTTAACCTGCTATTCAGAGAGCTCACTAACAATCAAATGAAATGCAAATGAACTGATAAAATGACATTTGTTCACTTTAAGAAAAATTAAAAAAAATTGTACTTTTTATTTGATTAAAAACAACTGTAATGGCAATTACATTTAAGGTATGTTAAAGTGAGCCTTTTGAACCTTGTAATAAACTGTGTAAAGATGAACCAAAACAAGCCCCACCTCACTGCTGACTGACATACATCCTGTTTATATCTAATAACCTGGCAGCAGTAGATAATACCACAAATCTCCTGCTACAGTATCTACAGTAAACTTACCAGACACTGAACACAAAGGGGTTGAACTCCTAAGACCAAAGTAGGTGGAGATCAATGATAATCTTGACATTTTGTCTCTTTGGGTGCTTTCCCAGAGATTAAGATCGATCTAAAGATTAAGTTTTAGATCGACCTAACTCCCTGGGGGNATTGGCAACATTGACATGGACGAAAATTTAGAACTGCTACTGGCCTTTCAAATTAAGCGTTATACAGCCCTTCTGCAAACTAATGAAACCCTACAACATAGAAAGTTTTCATCTTGCCACAGAACCAACTGTTATGTTTGGGTTAAAAAAAAAAGAGGGGAGGGGGCGGTATTTTTATATTGATGGCGCCAGGGGTATAACGCCTATCCCAACACCCCCGGCATGGGCGCACATTGGGGACACGAAGGTCCAGCAGTTTGTGTTTGGGTCATAAACCTCCACAGAGCTGAGGTTGGACACACCATCGTACCCTCCAATGGCGTACAGTTTCCCACAGTTTGCCGCCAGTGCTACTCGACTGCGCTTTATATTCATGGGCGCCACTTTGGTCCATTGGTTGGTCACTGGATCGTAACATTCCACAGATTTTAGAAATACTGAGCCGTCATATCCACCACATACGTAGAGTTTCCCGTTCAGAGTGGCCACCCCTAGTCTACAGCGCTTGGTTAACATGGGCGCCACCTGTGTCCATGTTCCCGTCAGTGGATTGAAACACTCTACCTAGAAATAAAAAAATATGCCATCATTGCCTTCATATGTCAATCACTTTTTAGTATGTGTGTGTGTGTGTACAATGCATATTGAACAATTCCATAAAAAGAACAGCTACTTATCTACCCTTTTTTTTCACATGACAGTGAAACTGTCTGAATAGAAAAGTAGCTGTTATTTTTGGGATGAGAGAGAGAGAGACAGAGAGAGACGGGGTGGGAGGGGGTGGGGGGTCATGCTGTACTAGCCGAATTCAGATTCAACACTTTTTGCCAAGTTTTGAGTTCCACCTCTGACATTCAATCAGCAACTTATCGTCCATGTTGCAGCGACCAGCCACAAAGAGAACACGAAACCCTGCCCCTTATGGTGTTACTCACAGAATCAAATATCGACAGTCCGTCGTGACCTCCCAGGGCGTAAATTTGTGTGTCAAAGGTGGTCACTCCAGCCGCACTCCGGTGCTTGGTCATATTAGAAACCATATTCCATCTGAAACAATTATAAAATATTTATTAATCTATCTGTAATGGTTAAAATTAAATTTTTCGATAATTTATTTAAGTTTACTTATTATTAAAATGCACACTGTTAAATTTATATAGCAGGCAACTCTCTGATGGAAATATGAAATTTTGTGTTCATATCATACTTACGTGTTTGTGTCTGGATCGTAACATTCCACTGAGCTCAGGGACCCTACTCCATCATAGCCTCCACACACGTACAATTTGCTGTCAACTGTTGCTACACCAAGAGCACTGAAATAAACAAGATGGATTGATAAAATAAAAAAAACTTACAGATGTAGTTGAGGGTTTATTTTTCTATTATTCCCATTTCTTTAAACCTGTCGTTGGTTTTCAATAAAATCTAAAATACAAAATATATCATACCATCTTAATGAAAATACAAGTAATTGTTAAACTACTGTTAAAATGTACAGTAGGTTGCAAATGGTTGACCTGTCATGAACTTTGCTTGTCACTATTTGATCAGATCGAAAAACACCTTTCTAATTAGGTATACTGAGTATCGAGGCAATCCCCCCCCTCCCCCGATAAATCCTCGTTATAATGAATATATAATTGAGAATAAACAAAGTGGTATTGACAAAAATTATGCTAACTGCCTTTAATAAAAATTCATCTCCAGGGAGAGGATGGGTAAACAGATAATCTCACTTATCAAGGTACCCCTTTCATGAACTAACTACCACCTATAATTGTTTCACCCTTCCCCTGCCCCCCCCCCCCAAAAAAAAATAAATAAATAAATAATGAGTTTCAAAATTTTTCTCATTCCATTTTATTTATTTAACCTGCTATTCAAAGAGATCACTAACAATCAAATGAAATGCAAATAAACTGATAAAATGACATTTGTTCACTTTGAGAAAAATTGAAAAAATTGTACTTTTTATTTGATTAAAAACAACTGTAATGGCAGATGAGCAAATTCTGTGTCAGACTCTATAACATCTAATACATTAAGGTTACATTAAAGGTATGCTAAAGTGAGCCTTTTGAACTGTGTAAAGATGAATCTAAACAAGCCCCACCTCTGAGTCACTGCTGACTGACATACATCCTGCTTATATCTAATAACCTGGCAGCAGCAGATAATACCACAAATCTCCTGCTCATAATCTACAGTAACCTTACCACACAATGAACACAAAGGGGTTGAACTCCCAAGACCAAAGTAGGTGGAGTACTGTCAATGATAATCTTGACATTTTGTCTCTTTCACACCAGTTTTGGACCTACTTAAAATGACAAGTGAACCTAAAAACTAGTGTATTTATCTTGGCTTTCTTTGTCTCAAATGTGCCCATGAAATATAGCACAGGTACTGAGCTTACTTATGCCCAGGTTTGGCGAGTTGTAAGAAGCACACCTAATTTGGCTGAAGTGGGAAAACATGATCCACGGCTCTGTGGAGGTTTATGACCCGACTAACGTGGACTAACGTGGACTAACGTGTGGATAACAATTAACAATCTTTTCTTCATACAAACAGATAAGGCTGCCTTCAATGTTTTGTATTTTTCTTACCTCCTTTTACTAGTCATGGGTGCTACAAGTTTCCAATGTTTCAAAACTGGGTCAAAAACTTCAACTGTTTGTAACCTCTCCTGGCCGTCATAGCCTCCAATTGCATACAACTGCCCTGAAATGTTATAAATTGTAATACTACTGTACACCTGTGATACTGAATAAATGAGCTTTTTTACTAAGAGGGAAGAAAGTTATGATTTTACCAGAAAGTATATGTTGGTAATCTTGTTTGTTTGTGTACAAAATATTTCTTCACAAATTTTGTACTCAGCTGAGAGAAGCAGAGGAGAGGCATACAAAATTGTCTTCTAATTGCAAAAAACTTCCCTTGGCAAGTAAACTTTAACACCAAACAAGGAAAAAAAATCAAATAAATATGTAAAACTATTCAAGAAATTTGCACACAACCAAAACCAAGGGAAAATGTATTATTACCTCCGCCAAGGAGGTTATGTTTTCACCCCTGTTTGTTTATTTATTTGTTTGTTTGTCATCAATATAACTCAAAAAGTTATGGACCTATTTTGATGAAATTTTAGGGAACTGTCAGAAGTGGGCCAAGGAAGAGATGATTAGTTTTTGGTGGTGATCCGGATCAATAATCAATCCATAATCAATAATAGTCAAATATCGCTGCCTTGTCGTAGGTCTGCACAGAGTGCTTTTTTAGTTCTCATAATGCTTCAAAACTGCCTCACAGGACAGGACAGATGTGACATTTGGGGGTTTTCATAGGGTGATGATCTAGATGACACAGAGTAATTGCAAAATTATTTCCTATCAAGGTCATCAAAAGTTTACCATGTTGATGGGATTTTCTCTGTCTGAATCTCTGTTCGCAGGCAAAAATGTCTCAAAAAGTCCTTCACAAAACAAAGATAAATAAATTGAAAATTGTTCAGGATAGACTGTTATGCAGGAGAGAAAGAGGTGATTTCAATTTCAATTAAATGTGGGTCTTTGAATGATTTAAATAATTTTAATGCCTTTTTTCTTGAAAGCGGTACTGACCTTTAGTTTTAGCTGCTATTATTTTTAAAACATTATGTATGTCACTACCTAATGCTGGAAAAGACTAAATGTACTCATCTTCTGTTTATTAAGTCAGGGATTTATTTAATGACAAGGAATGACCCAGGTTTAGTCACATAATGTCGAATTCAATGAAGGGAAACAACTACCAGATATCATCTTTCATAACTGTACAGTGAAATATCTTGCAAACAGGAGATTGAGAATGCCGTCTTCAGTTGAATTGAGTTTGATTAAAAAACCCCCTGGTTTCCTTTCAGGATATAAACTAGACAGCAGGATTGAGAAATGTAGAGAAATAAAATAAATAAAGTACTATAAATGTATGCTGAAAAGAGGTTATGTGAAAAAAGCCATTACTTGTAAAACAACATTTTCTTAGATCTTCAGCAATTTCCACTGCAATACAAAATACTGAATAAATTCAGATATATTCAATTTAAACCATTCTAAATGAGACGAAAGAAAGAGAGACAGGCTGTGAAGAACATTGGAGAAGAGAAGCTGAAACCAAGACTTGGGATGTATTGAAATCAACTAGAGTGGAGATCTCAGAACAGGGAGTGACAGAAGGATCTTGAAGTAGTCCACATTGTATGCTCCAAGAGGGACAATAGGTATAACTAAGGAAATACTAATCTAATTTTCTAACACTTTTTGCAATACAAAGATTCCAAGAAACTTCTTGGCAAAACAAAAATATGGTCTGGAATAATGAGGTGAATGGTAAAGAAATATATACAAAATATCAGGACATGTGTAATGTGCTATTATGTGCAACTGACTGGCAGCCCAGTTTTGAGTTACGACTCAATAACTAAAGGTGTCCCTCCAACCCTGTTTCTTGGACACATTTCACCATCTTGAACTGCCACTCCCACCCTGCTTCTATAACACAACTTACCATCTAGAACTGTCACTCTCACCCTGCTTCTAAAACACAACTTACCATCTAGAACTGCCACTCTCACCCTGCTTCTATAACACAACTTACCATCTAGAACTGTCACTCCCACCCTGCTTCTAAAACACAACTTACCATCTAGAACTGCAACTCCCACCCTGCTTCTGAGAGTGCTCATGGGTTCAGCTAATGTCCATCGGCCCACAATGGGATCAAAGCTCTCTACTGTGCTTAACGAGTCTCCTAAAAGATGACATAATAGGTTTTAACTTGTTACTCCCCATTCAGTGCTTAAGCATTTAGCAAAATCAGGAACATATATTCATTCATAACTTACAGAACTTGGAAAGTGTGAATTTTACATATGAATATTTCTCAGAAAATGAAATGTAAAATTTTGATAATGAAAAGCTGGACAGTTCTCTTTAGATTGTACTTCTATTTTTTCTATATCTTAGGAAATGTGCTTCTGCTATCAAATAAAGTTTTTTAAAGCATAAAACTGGAAAAAAAAAGAAGTTCAACTACTCACCAGATGAGGTCAGTCCTCCAACAGCATAAATAATGCCAACAATATCTGTGCAGCAACGTGGACGCGTCTTGAAAGTTTGCAAATGTGGGCGTCTCTCTGGCATCAGGTGAAAATCTTTGGCTTCATCCAGTAAATCTCTGCAAATAAAAGAGTCGTTGGTTTGCAAATCTGTGACATTTTTAGTCTAGGATGTATCTGTCAATAAATGTTTAAATATTCACAATGAGCATTAGAACCTTGTATTGGATTTTTTTGAAATTCTGACACTTTTCTTTTAATCAACAGGATACAGACTCGAGATATCCTTCAATTATATCCCTTAAATTCTTCCAGAAAATTAATACAGATGAACTCCTCTGAGTACTAATCAACTGAAATTGGCTCTCTTTTGCAGAAAACATAAGAAATGGCAGTTGCTATATTCCAATTTACTTTAGTAGTTATGTGTCTGTACATAAAAAGTCCTCATTTCTCTCTCATCTCTGAGACAAATGAAACCCAACAAGCTTTATGTCAAAAAGAAAAATGAGAGACATCATTGTCATAGTATACCCAGGTTGCCATCAATGTTACAACTGCATTACTATCAGAGGAGAATCAGTGATGTCAAGGACTTGTTAAATTAATGTTTTTATATATTGATGTTCAATAATTGATTATTTTTCTGCATAAATAAGATTATTTTCTCTATTCCCATGCTGTGATAAATCTTTCACATCCTCATTAAAGGCTCAACAGATTTTTGTCCTCCTTCTGAAGAAAAATAAATCACCCTAGAGTAATACATTTAGTGAAATATATGGGGTCCCTTTCTTAATAATAAGTTATCCCAAATTGGAAAACAAGACCATGAAACATAATTAATGTTGTTCAGAAATTGAGGTCAAACCATGTGTTAACTGCGTGTCATCATAAAGTTCCACCTTCACCTACAGATGTGCTTCATCCAACTGACAACTAAAAGGGATATAGACTAAGTCCAAAAGGTCAGGATGGAAAATTTGATAAGAAATGAACATGCTGTTCCATAAAAATTCAATAAAATCTTTTGGAGTGTTATAAATCCCTGATATCCCAAATTAATTACTTTTGGGTCTGTTAACTTCATATTCCTTGCCAATATGCCACGATTTGAACATTTAAACTAAAACATCTTTTTCCATCAATGTAGTAAGTTGGCCAGCCAACAGAGGCAGTCAAATTTGACACCTACACCATACCCCCTCCAAAATACCGTGGACCCCCCCCCCTTCAAACATTCCTGGATCCACCCTGAAAGATTATTTCAGCAGGCAGTCATCTGTAGAGGTCACACGGTACGATGCCCAGCACAGATTCCAGAATAATTGTGATAACCATTGTTTTGGTGATTAAATAAAATTTATTATACTTCTACGAGTTGTTTACAATGCACTTATTGTGAAATATGGATCTTATTGGAAGAGTTGTTATCCTTTTAAATATAGTGGGCAGTGTTTTCATGTTTCGACTCCTCGATCATATAGGCTAAGAGGAGATAGAGGACTTAACAAATGACAAGAAGTCGATGGGTTATCATGCCCTCCTTTTGTTGCAAAAACGTAGGGATAATGAGAAAACTAAATATTGCACTGCTGTATCATCAACCTTCCAAAGTTACCACAAAAATCTCGACAGGAATAAATATAATATTTTTAGGGCAAATATTGCTGCTGTGGCCATTTATACATGTAGTTTTTATTTTTATTAAAAATTTTTTTTTTTAATTTCTTTTTTTTTTTTACTTACCTGCACTGAAAAGATGTCTTGATCAATTCCTCTGCGGCAACGCGGTCTGTCAGGTATTGTGGACACATGAGAGGCAAGCGGACATGGCGCATCAACTCGGGCAGTGTGTCCACTCTGTTATCCATGTCTTTCTTTATCCAGGCCAACATGGCCTCAAACACCTGCAAAGTCAATCAGCAGCAGAGAACTTGATTTCAATTACTATATTGATGTTATACAAAATTGTTAAGTTGGAGGACCAGTGCTGACTCTCTGTAAACACTGTTGAAAGTTTAAATTTTTTAAATTTCTTTTCATTTTTTATAAAATGACTTTCAACAAGCACAACAGCTTAAATTTAGGGTTGGTCCTTTTTATTTGATTCTATGTTTTAGGGGGAAGAAGTCAAACCAATCTTTTCCACTTACCAAAGCAATACCTAAAGCATATTTTCATACGAAAAAAAAAAAAAAAAAAAAAAACATTCTGACTTCCTTAAAATCAGGGCTGGTCATGCTCTTAAATCACTTCGTCAAATATCTCTTGCCTTTCTCATGGAATTCAGTGGGGGAAGGCTGGAGGGGGGGGGGGGGTGGAGAGAGGAGTGCAATTAAGTGTCCCACCCACCTGTTCCTCACTGGTCACATACAGTTCATCTCGGCACAGAATGTCCAACACCTCGGCCTGGCTGAGGTTCAAGAACTCTTCGGACCTGGACACCTCGATGAAATGCTTCTGCAGGTGCTTGTTAGCTGCCTCCACCAGCTGTTGACAAACAAACTGCTCTGCAAAGTTTCTGATGCCAAGGACGTTTGTAGGGTGCAGTCTACAATTTAAGTTATAAAACAAAATTATAACCAGATACCACTCAAAACCAGAAGCTCAAAATGACATGTAAAAGGTTGCCAATGTGAAAGTTCTATTAGCTTTAGAAATAAAAATCCTTAACGGAAGCCAAACCAGCCATGTGGAAACTGAACAGCTTTGGCTGCATGCTATAGAACAGCATGTCATTGGCATATTTTGTTAATAATTGTTATTTACTAAATAATCTTATCCATCAGTCACTCTGGTATCTACCTGTTTTTTAAATAATCACTGCAGGCCTCTTTTACAGGATATAAATGGAGAAAACTTGCCCCAACAAGTAAAGCCTGAACTGACTTGCTATCAATTTGAACGCGGCCGTTGTACGCATAATTGATCAGAGCTTCCAGGGCACTGAAATAAAACCAAATGCAACATTGTAAGGGCAATGGATACAATACTAATATCTGTAGTCTGCAGGCCAAATGAATAGGAAAATATTTATGGAATTCAAATTTGTTATATTTTTAATGTGTAGTTAGAATGTAAGCTATCTAAAAATCACAGTGCAAGAAAATGCCTTAGGGCTCATTCCAATGAAACTATTTGATAGAGATCTCTCGCTGATTGCTTTCATATTAAGATATTAACAGGCATGCTCCTGGCGTTAGGTACAAAACAAAAAAGCTGGTAATTTTCAACAAAATAATTTTTGAAAATTCGTAAAAGGATTCTTTTTAAAAGACTGTGTACAAGTACAGTTACTTGTACAAAATTCATATTTTATATGGCATTGAACAAATAAAAAAATAATTAATTAAAAAATAAATAATTTAAATAAATTCATGCCTCTACAATGTCCTACCTAGCCTCTATTCCCTGCATGGAGATCTCGTCCTGCTTGGACTCCACCATATCATGAGTGAACATGGCTTGAAAATAGGGAATGGTGGCAGCTAGGACAATTCTGTGGGCTGAAAACTTCTGGTCACTCACCTGAAATTGGTGATAAGAAAATGTTGACAATAGCATATTTTTGTTCTTTTCATGATAAAAAATTTGAAATAAGATAAAGGTTAGAGCTGGCACAACTGTCGACTAAACTGTACTGTAACTACAGTGGGTATTTGATTGTCTGCTACTAAATATCAAAGTTCTATTAATGCATGACTAAATCTGAGCATTTTTTGCAATTCTATTATCTTCATAGAGTTGGGGTTTTGTTGCTGTTGTTGCACAATGTGTCACACAGTGTTTCATGTGACATCACACAGATCGTTTTACTTTTAATCTGACATCACACAGCTTGTTTTACCTTTATGCAGCTTCACACAGCTTATTTTACCTTTAATGTGACATCACACAGCTCATTTTTCCATTAATGTGACATCACATGAGTGTTTTACCTTTAGTGTGACATCACAGTTTATTTTACCTTTAATGTGACATCACACAGCTTGCCCTGTCTCCTTATTGCTTCCATAACAGGAAAAGCTTGACAAGACAGGTCTTTCTGCTCAAATATCACAGTGTCTTCAATCCCGCTGGCCCTGTTGTTCACCTAATCAGAAAATTAAAGTCACGTTTTACTTTAGATTATTAGCACTGCAAAAACAGAAAGGCAACTGCCAAATAGACCTTTTACGTGCAAAAGGCTGTATTGCTGCTCAGAGATATGCATTACCCCTACTGCAGGTAGATTTCACTTGATTTGAGGCCCACTGGAACTGCCCAACACATATCAGATTTAGGAACAACCAGAATTATGTAAATATTATGGTGTCTTGGTTTCTGCGTTGTCATGTATATACTGGTACAAAGTGCAGGGTCTTTAAATGATATATAGTACAGGCCCATTGCCAGCAATTTGAAATGGGCAGTTCTTTTTTCTGAAAAAAAAAATAGCCTTATACCATTAAACCTTCGTGTCCCTAGATAAAATTTTAACCAGACTGGCACATCTTTTCCTGGCAATATGTTTTTTTTTTTTTTTTTTTTTTTCCGAACCCCCAAACCCCTTGGTTGTGGGCCTGTAGCATATTGCATATGGAATTCATGCGTTTAGAATTCTACACTGTGGACAAATCAAAATTGTTAGCAGCCAGGAGTAGTTACGCATGGGTTTCATGCTAGGTATGCATACAGTAATAACAGTATTCAAATTCAGCATAGAGTAATCAAAATTAAATTAATTGTCAGTTTCTAGTGATATTTTTATTCTGAAATGCGAGGCCTATAAGGAACTACGGGCGGCTTTCTACGAAAATATAAGTTTCCTGTGTAATACTAATGCCCTCTCTCCCCCGGATATGTTTATACACATCATGAATACAAAAGAAATGGATGTGATTACGCCCCTCCTCATATTTGTACAGAAATGCATGGAGAAGAGAGTAAGTCTTTCTGCGCATGTCCAAACCAGATCATAGTGCCAGTGTGAGACCCGTTATGCGCTGTCAGCAGAGACTGGGCGTGTAGATCAAACCTGGTAAATTGATTATGGAATGCGACATTCGTATACATGTGTATAGTCACTGATTTCAACAATTGCTAATCTATATGTATATATATATATATTTATTTATCTATTTATTTGTCTGTTCTATGTTCTAGCCACTAGTATCGTATTGTAATTGATTGTACCTTTATGTGAAGGTGTTTGTCAATAAAGAATCTGAATCTGATAAAGAAGACATGAATGGAAAACAACAACAGCAAAAATTCGTAACATCTGCAAATGTTTTTCCATCGTCCTCTCCCTTCCAACATTTTTATTTTTTATAATATCATTATCCATGGTAATAATAATAATATTAATAAACAAAGATTTAAAGCAAAGATGGTGCATATCATTCATGTCACTTGAAATTTATTTAGAACATAAAAGAGAGGATTGGATTAAAAGTATAAAGTGTGAAAATAAAAAGCGATGGAATAAATACTTTCTGTTATTGTGCATTCAATTACATAATCGATAATATAAATTAATGTAATTGTCAACTCTAGCACTGAAAATATAACCCAATTTCATTTATCGCACAGGCGGAATGTAGATCAGCTGCTTTCACCGTTTGGGCTCTGTTCAATACCTTAAAGGTTGCCGGGGCATCTGCAATCATTCCCTGGCGTCTAATATCTTGAATAGCAAGAAAAGACTTGGGTGAAATATCGAGGTGGTCGAGTTCTGACTCGACGAGGCTCTCCATCTTGAAATTCTGTATTAGTAAAGGCTAACGCAATCAGTGTGTCGCATCTAGCACAATCTTATAGCTCTACTTCATATTTTAATGATCCTGCATTTTATAAATTTCCCTTTTTTATGTCGATGGGTGTGGTGAAAAGGAAATTATCTAAACTGAAACTCATAAGTCGAGAAATCAAGAAAAAAATGGTTTTAATGCCTACATTTTTTGCTAAGATTACGTTAAAGTAATATTTCGCCCAATCCTTCGCATGTTAAAAAACGAAATATGAAAAATCTATTTCCAATTTTTTAAATCTAAGAATAATGCTATTTATGAAATAAAACGAGGAGTAAATCTTTTTTATCAAAAATATATCACAAAAGTTCTCGGAATAAGACGCTGACTCCGCATCAATGCAAGAAATGGCGAGAGGACGCAGACTCGCTTTAGGAGAAACCGGCAATCCAGGTCAGAAAATGGCGGAAACGGCAAATCAGGACACAGGCAAATCAGGACAGTAATAGATGGCGCAGCAGTANGGAGGCCGGCGGCCAAGGCAGGCAGTCGTCAGCAGAAAGAGATTATTAATTAAAAACACAGTTTTTCGTTGTGTCTCGTCACTCTGAGAAAATGGGTGCAATTGTATCAAGATGGCGGGTATGTGTTGTACGTTTTCAAGCAGTATTTGTCACATGATACTGAAAGATATTGTTTATGTCTGCTTTCGTGTTTGCACATTACTGTGAAATAACGACGGCCATCAACAATCTTAAAATAAAAGATAAAAGTTGAACTGGGTTGTAGCTTGAAGAGATAAGTGGCAGATTATTATCACACACCGGTGTTTCGGGCATGTGCTTGTTTGTGTGTCAATTTTGTATCATTTCATTGTCTTTATTTTGTAGCACGTTAACAACTGAACAACCATATGAAACGACACTATACTAGTGCAATTATTATTATTGGCCTTGTAATGACGTGTTAATATGTTTATCTATAGACTTTGTGTGACTCACACAATGGCTGTTTAAAGATGGACTGACTTACATAGGCGTGATATGATCTCATTTCCTTCATTAGTTATCTAACTAACATTTGAACTTGTGACATTTTAAGACTCGGTCCATAGTATTTTCTGGGAATTGATCCCATTTTATAGGCACTTCTTGAATCTTATACTTGTGTTTCTATCAGGAAACTTTGGGTGATATCACCTTTCTGACCTCAGAAACATATTGACCTCAGAAAAAGTGTATAATTGGATGATATATTATTATGATTTTGTGTATAAAAAAGTGAATAATATACAGGCTTAAGATTTAAATGTTAAAATTAAATTTTAGGAAATGATTATTTAAAAATACATTAAAGAGCTTCTATTATATGCACATGCTACAATTATTCTCATATTATATAATATCATATAATATTTATATATTCCTCAATTTTTTTCACAAGTAGGCACTAGGAGCCCAAGATGGGTACAAACCGTACATACAGCACCATACCAACACAATTCATTTACTTATTAACTGATTTTTTTTATTTGTTTTTTGATAACAGAAAAAGCCATCCACCATAGAAGTCCTAGAGGACATAGACAAGGTAAGAGCCTTTGAATAATATTTATAATAGCTGATTACTAATAGAATGTATATCACATCAGTGTGCACAGTTCTGGGGCTAAAATGGGCAAATTTTTAAGAGGCCAACTTGTTCTTTGTATTTTTTCTTTTGTGTGTATTTTACCCTGTGGTCTATACAGTGTACAGTATCTATATATTTACAGTACATTATTAACATAGATTTCTTTTTTCTAGATAAACTTAGTCCTACCCTTGGGTCAGTGAAATAATTTCCAAACATTATACTTGCATATGCATGGATTTCCAAAATTATGATATAATTTAAATGGGTGAATAGAATTATAATTTCATTTTTATCTGCATTTCACAGGATATCAAGTCTATAGAAAAATTCAAGCAGCACAATTTGGAGCTCCAGAAGAAGATCATTGGTTCCCTTCTCCTGTACTCCATACTGTTTTATATCTCCGCAGCAGTAGTCTTCTATTTTTATTACATGCCCAAGAAATTACAGCTCAAAATCCTATACTCCTTGCCATTGTTGTTCTTCCCAGTATTGTAAGTATTGTTGAGGTGGTTATAGTTGTTATTATTTTATTCTGGGAGTTAATAATTGCACTGGCATAATGATTGTACTGTGACAGAAATTTTGTTGAGTTTATTAGGAATTGTATTAATATAGTATAATTATTGTACTCTACGGGAAATGTGAAATTGCAATCCTATAGTTGAAAAAAAAAATGAAATAAATTGAAAACATATTATATATCCCAGTTTGCTTTTTACAGAATATGGTTGATCAAGAAAATTCTCCATTGGTATTTTGTAAAAAGAATAGCAAGTAATGGTAAGAAATATTATACAACTATTATCGAAATGGGGGGAGTTTCAAACCTTGACAAAAAATTAAAAATAATAGACATTGGCAAAATAATGCTGATAAAAGACACAGTTCATATGTTAGAATTATCTACTAAATGGTGCTTTTTTGTTCTCAGTTAATTTTATTCACATTATATTTCATTTTTTTCGTTGATTTAGCATATGTTAATTTTGTAATGATGTAATTTAAAAACTTATTTTTAAATGCAGTCAACTTAATTTCCAGATTTCAAACTTGAAGAACTAAAAGAAAGGAGAAAGACCATTGTAAGTGAATTACTATATTGTTTTTGCTTAAAGCTAAATGTCTGGCATGCTGAAAGATAAATATCATACTAGTACATACATCAGTGCAGAAGTGGTGAGGTTTGTGTTTATTTTTCACATTAGAGAGAGAGAGAGAGAGAGAGAGAGAGAGATTTACCCCAGCTGTCTCAACAGGCTGTGTATAGCAGTACCCTCAACCAGGGTCCCAAAGAGACATTGTATTCAGTAGATATATCCATGATGTACCTTTGCTTATTTCTCTGTGCTTTACTTTGCTGTTTTCTGTTCAGTAAGAATTTTCGTCACCCAATTGGGCTCTTGTAGATAGCAGAATAGCACAGGTGCAATGTGTAAGTTTCAAACTCAATGTTTATGTTACAATTATAACAGGCTCCTAAAACTATTGTAACAGCTAAACTCAGAGTTATTAGCACTCAGATATTTCAATGTCTCACAAGCCACTTTCACCAGAGAATAAGATTGCAGGTGTTACAGTAACTGTACCTGAGGAGTGCAGCCCTATTCCCTGATGAAGACATTAGATATTAGAAATATGGGAGTGGTAATTTTTCCTAAGGAACAGTTCTAATGTAATTGCAACTTATGAGTGCATACAACAGCAGGTGAAATTTCTTTCCTGAGGTTTCACACGGCTGTGGTCTCAATGTGCTCTCTTGACTCTGGGTCACTCATTTTACCTTTTTTATTTATCTTTGGGGGTAGTTATTAGAAATTATTGGTAGATAATTGAATTGGTGCAATTTTGATAGTTGTCTTGGGTTTGTTAGGAAAAGCACATGATAAAAAAGCACCCAATTAAACCTCATTTGCAGTGGTGTATTCATTTAATTAATATATGCTTGTTAGAAGGATTAAATTTTTTATGCATGAAATGTTTTTGTGTCACTTATAATTAGTAGCATGCACTACATAATTGCCAGAATTTGTTTTTTTTTATTATTTCGTAGCTTGAAGAAGTGATGGAAAAAGAAACCTACAAAAAGGCCAAAGAGATTTTAGAGAGGTTTGACCCTGAGCAATATAAGAAAATGGAGGTATGAACTTCAAGGCAGTATTTGTCATGAAAAATTATTTTTGTTTATTACTTGAATCAAGAAATTAAGTTGGTAGAGCCTGTCAAAATACAGTAATACTCCTAAATTAGTATAAACCACAATGTCTCTTATCAGGATATTAGCAGTGAACTATTATTATTATTATTTTATTATTATTATTATTATTATTATTATTATCAATGGATTAAATGTTTATAAATATCTTGTTTTAGTCTATTTCTATTTATTCTCTAGGCCAGTCCAAAATCAACGCCTGCGCCAGCTCAGTCGCCTAACGGCCAAGGTTTGTTATCCAGCATACGCACCTAGCCATTTAGTAATAAGTAGTATTGTATTTATAATCAGGGTTACAGTGTATTAACATTTTGATACAGGATAAAGAGTACAGAATTACGATGACCATGCAGTTTCCTATCCCTCATGGTCTTGTGTACATGTTGCTATGACAGCATTAACTGTTTTAATATCAAAATATAATGATTACAAGTCGTAGATGCACACACTCTCTCATGCACGTGCATGTACTGTACGTGGGCACCCACATCTTCCATAAATTAGATCAGTCCACAGAAAGTCGTCTTTCATTTATTTAATAATTCATTTATTTTTATTTGATTAGTTTTATTATTATTTTTTTTTTTTCAAAATCAGAACTTCGCCAGAGGCCTGCCAATGGACAAGCAGCAGTCAGCCCAGGGTTGGCCTCCCCCACCCCCACCCCCACTCCAGGGCAGCCAGTCTCTACACCCCTACCCCCCAGACCAGGGACAGCCATGGGTAGACCTATGACTGGGGTCAGGAACGCTGGCTTTGGTAAGGAGGGGTGTGCCTGGTGCACCCTACATGTCACCCTGCAGTGAGGGTTTCTGTGGGATTTCACTGTGTCATGTTAGGATCTTGCCTTCATGTGGAATTTTTGGCTTTGCCCACAGTTTTTTCTTTTTTACTTTCATTTATTATTATTTTTTTGTTGTTGTTGTTCATAATCTCTTTAAACCCATTCCCATTATCATATATATATATGAAATTTTTGGATATTATTATAACATTTGTTAATTTTGTTAAGCACAGAGAAATTAATGAAGATTCTGCCATTCAAGAATTATTTCTCAGATTGTTGTTTATTATTGTTCATCTTGTTATTTAAAACATTTTTTTATTACCATATTCACTCCCCACCCCCTGCCTTTTCAGGCCGTCCCCCAGGTCCTCCCATGCCGCGACAAATCCTGCCCCGAGAGAGGAGCAACACAGACAAGATCATCGAGTACCTGGTGGGGGACGGACCCTCCAACCGCTACGCCCTGATCTGCTGTGAGTGCAGGTCTCACAATGGGATGGCACTCAAGGAGGAGTTTGAATATCTGAGTGAGTGAAGGTTCTATTGAGGTCACAAAGACAAACAAATGAGTCTAGACTAACACCTGTTATCGTGTGACATTATTGTATAATAGCAGAAATTGTATTTTCCTAGAAACTGATGAGAAAATATCTATCTAGCGACTCGTCTTTCAGTTCCACATTTCTCACATCATGGGCAAAAAAAAACAAAAACATTTTTTCTCTCCATTATGAAGGTAACTAAAAAAAATAGAACTTAAAGAATAGGTTACTGGTATTGTATTCCTTGGTGATTAAGGGAGAGTTTTGAAATGAACAGGAAAATTTGTTTGTTTGAAAATGGTTTCTTCACTTATCGTAGTTGACAATTATGATTAAGTTGTCAAAATGAAATCAATATATTAATTTTATTTTGTCTTTTAAGGTAAAAGCATGTGAAAACCTGTTTTGGCCTATGAAAATAAATTCCTTATATTAATCTGAAGTATTATATTGTTAATGAATACAATTTCTTGTTTTTATCTGATTCTCTCAGTGCTATAATTATAATATTTGTAGGTTTTCGGTGCTGTTACTGCTTCACTTTTAATGAAGCCAGAAAGCATCGTCCACAAGCTCCTAGACCAACATATACTCCCATGACCTCTAGAGGAAGAACTGAGACTGAAAGAGGTATGTTTGTGAAGATTTTTCCTCAGGGGAAGACTGCTTTAATGTAGACAAAAATGCTGCATTCAGCCAAGGGCTGTTTTAGTCAGAAAATTGTACATTATTATATATAATAAAATTTGTTTTCAAGAAGTTCAGTATTATTTGCCTGGACTAGTATTGTTTGTAGTATCAATGACTGCAAGTTTCAGAGACAAAAAAAGGCCATTTTCTTCATTTTCATATGATTTTAAGCAGCATTCATTGTTTTTATTTATTTTTTTAAACTAGGCTCTGAAGATGACGAGGCCGAAGAAGCTGACACAAAAGGTCAAAGTTCACAAGAATCCAACAGACAACCTAAAAATGCTATCGACAAAAAAACAGACTAATCACATTGGGCTCATTAAATTCTATTTGTATTTAATCAGTTTATTTTATGCATGATGTAAACTATTTTCTGCACAGCTGAAAGGCACTGTGATCTTGGATTGAAGTGGACAGGACAGGATTATTTTCTTACGTAGAAAGGCATACTAGTATGTTCATTGCAACCATGTAGTACTGTACCAGTAGATCCTAGGGTTCAGGGCAAAGAAGTTGATATTGAATTATTTCATTTCATTTTTTTTTTCATTTAGATTATTATTGTTGTTGTTATCTTTTTTGTTATCATTATTATTATTGTATTTTATTCATTTGTTTGTTCATTGATTTGTGCAGAGGTACTTTTTAGTTTGGTATTTTTGTCTAGGAGAATCAGATAAGGAGCGCTAGCGCTGCAGCACAAAACTTGACAGGGGAAATTTAGAGAGTTTATGGGGAACCTCACTGAAACTAAAGAGATGTAAGAGAGGTTTAAAAGGAAATGTCAGATTTATAAAAATAGCATAATATTCCTTGAATGAGGCATGATGAAACATATTAATGTATCTCCTAAAAAAGAATTGTTTGGGTTAAGATTGTTAATGGGCCAAACAAAAGACACTTCTAAATGTTTGTTTGTGGCAGGTGACCATAAAACATAATGAACATGCTGTAAATTACAGGTTATGCAAAACCCTTAGACCTTTATGTGTTACTTAGTAATTTAAGTTAGAAAAATGTGTCACATGAATATAAATGGTATGATATAATGTGTGTTTAATGGGAGATGATGCTGTTAAATGATGCATTTCTGTCACAAGTAGGGCACTTTAAAAAAGCAGGAAAAAGAAATGCTGAACATGAAAATTATAATAGACCCTACTTGATTGTCTAGTAATGAGAGCATCTCCCACTATGATAAGAAATTTATTTTAAAATAATCTGAGTTTGAGTTGTACAAGTGAAATTCTTTAGGACTTATTTATTTTTATTATTTGTGTGCAGTTAGAAAAGCTAGTTAGCCTTAGGACTTTGTCCGTAAATAGTATAGTTTTACTTGAGAGTTTCTTGGACCAAGTCATATTATGTATTTATTTCTATTAATTTATTGAGTCATGAATTTGTACACAAAATATTGTACTTTTTGAAAAATGTGGATTGTCCCAATGCCAAGTGAGGTTGAAAAAACTTGTTCCTAAGAAAATGATAATTATTATATCTATCATTCTAGGTAGTTAGGGGAAGGTGCTTGATTTGGGTACGTATATTGTGGTAAATTGTATTCAAAATGAAGATCTGTTAAAACCACACATTTCAGTATGTCATTCCTTTTAGTAACTAGCCACCTGGTAAATTTTGTGATTTCTCAGCATGGAGTGAAAAAGGGCTTGTCTTCAGCTCTAAGGAGTGAGAAACTAAATTATTATTATGACAAGTTTACCTTATAGGCTAACAATGAGCACTAGACCTTTTTATAGCAAAAAATAAATAAAAATAAAATAAAGATAAAATAAAAACAATGAAAAATCAAATAAAATAATAAGTATTTTAATAACTCTCCTGAAAATATCTCATCAACTGAAAAGTACATATATGTTGTGTTTAAAACTGTTAACAACTAATGATCTATACATCCATTATTTTAAATTTTGGATCAGTTCTAAGTAGGATATACTACGGAACTACCGTTAAGTTGGTGTATTGGGAAAGTTGAAGAAAAATCCATGGAATGAGATTGTGTTATTGTATGTCTATCTAGGTCTTGTGGTCTTTGAAAACTTATTGTAAGTGCCGAGAGCACAATTATACAAACTTTTGCATGTGTCAATAAAGATGGAGGTTTGCATGTGTACACCAGAATCTGTTTTTTCATTAATTTGAACAGAAAATGGGTATCATTGACACAAAATGAATTCACAAATAAGGCAAAGCTGTCATAAGTACAGACAAAAGCAGAAAAAAAGGCAATTATGGCAGTGCAAAAAATTATATCACAATGCAAATAACCACTGTTACTACTGAATAATGTACTTTATTTTTTTATAGTTTTTTATTTAGATGTGAAAATTGAGTAATTGTCTTCAATACAGGGCTTCAGGTCCAAAGATTTTTGAAAATAACAACTTGAAAATGCCAATGTTTGAAAAATGTAAAGGCACACCATTTCTACAGAACATAAAACAAGCCTACAGTAGGTGACTTTTCAATGACTTTCCACTTCCTCTTTTTCATTAAACAGTACTGCACAAGAGGGTACATGTGTGTGTATTGTGACAAAATATACCCCAAAATATGTTTGTCTTCATTTTTGCAGTCTGTGGGATAACGGTATGGAGCTCCATTATGTTGCAGAGCATGTGGAAAATGCAGCAGTCAGAACAGAGATTGCAACACACATAAAATGGTACGTTCTGTACGTTCATCAATTAAAAAGATGTTCCAGCAGGTAAGGGGTGTATCAAATAAAACAACAAATTTTTAAAGTGTCAACCATTTTAATTCCAGCTGACTTCCCAATGTTTCCCTATAAGTGATCCCGCTGTTCAAAGAAATGCCATATTATTATGCCCAATGTGATATTCCACATTCATAGAAACTAAGATATTTTTCCAATCTGGAAACCTGGCAAGTATCTTTGCTAAACACTACTTACTCAGCACTGGGTACTTTTATTATTATACACGGAAGGGGGGGTATTTCATTTAGATATATACATCTTTGCATTCACAATGAACAGTATATCTTGCATACTGTTCATTATTTATGGTAAAAAACGGGTCTTCACCAATGGACACAGACAGTTTTTTTTTTCAATCTCATGATTGGCAGAGTTACATAATTTCAACCTATGCCCATTTTTTTTCACCCTACAGTTTATTTTTAAATGGATACGTCAGAAAATTCAGGTACTAAACATAATATTATTACAGTAAATGAAAAATCTCCCTTGTTTGACTATTTAGCATAATGTGACTGTTTAATATCAATATACTTATCCTTTACACTTTACATTTGTGTCTCCATCTTGACAATATCATAATTTCTTTATATTATAACCAAATTCTTGAAAACTTAAGTGCATTATTTTGAATTAACAGTCATGTAATAGCTGCCTTGATTATACCCTTGAGCACATGTACAGTTTACCTAAATATAAATCTATGTTCTTACATGAAAGTAAATAACTTCGTAGTTATTACAAAATTAATATAATACTGTATCCAAAAAGTGTATTCACTCTTTCACTGCCCATTACATTTTTAAATGTTTACTAACATAGATACTAGTTAAAACAATAATTATAACAAAATGTCATGATCATGATGGCATAAAAGACAACTTTGTACTAAAAAAAATATACAAAATATACATTATTGGGCAGTTGAAGAGTGGAAACATTTTTGGGACACACTGTGCTGCTGCATGGACATCAATATGGTAATTACTCAAAATTTTCAAACACCTTGCAAACTTTAAATTTTATCATTAAAACAATAAACACAAAAATATATGCTTTCTTGTATCACTTCAGCCTAGTATTCCACATGTAACCTTTTTTTCAACATAAAAAATGTGAATAATTATGCTCAAATTTAGAAATCGCCATACTCCATGATTCCTATTAGTATTATCTGACAAAGTAACAATTGTACATTTCGTGTCATGATCACAATTCTCATATCATCCTTCAGTTTAAGCAGCTGTGAGCATCTTGAGAGATATACCATAAAGTTTACTGAACATTCTGCAACCAAAGCTGGCATTTAAAACTATCATCTCCACTCACTACAGGCATAACCATTCCAATGCCCAAGTATTGATAATAGATATATATATGTTACTGGCAAAGCATTGCATAAATATGGTATATTATATACCACTATATTGCCTGCTTAATTATGTCAAACAGAACTGCAATAATAATATTGTTCAATAATAATAATACTAAGTAAATTGAAGTGATGCAACTGACATTAACTGGAAGCTTGCAAAGTAAGCTTGGGGTGAAGAATTCCAACTTAAAGCGAGGGTCTCCATTGTCTCTTTTGGTCTGGTGTAAATGAGATCGATTGTGAAAGACACTTTAATGACTATGTTTCCCACAACTGGTAGGTTACCAAATTCCCTTCCATAATACTATTATTATACTAAGTATAAATACATAAATGGCAGCTGCGTGGTGTTTTCTCTTCTTTTCTTTCTTATTTCCAAGGAAAAACAAGTATGCATAAACCTTTATCACTAAAATCACTGGTACCCCATTTCGTGAAAAGCAGTCACCATGATGTCACCTGCTGCAGCAGTCAATAATCTCAAATCTTAACAAGTTTGTTAGTCTCAGAGAAAACATATATGAAAGGTATACAATGTGCATTAGAGAAAAAAAATACATAAACAATACCCTAAACTGAAGAATTACCATCCATAAATCCTCGTTTTAAAATTACATCCTCTAGTTTTTGAGATAGAACTCAAAATTTGGATCATAATTCTCTCCACAGTTTAAGTGATAAAGATTTTTTTCATAACATTATATAGGTCTAAACTGCATTGTCTGCTTATTAAGGAAAACATCCTGACCAAAATCTTCCATGTCCTCTAGAAAATTAGAGTCATTAACTGACCATTTCTAGGAAACAACTGACTTCAACGTAAGCATCTCAAGAAGGACTACAATGGACACTGCTGACCAGCCAGCAAGTGACATCAGAAGGACTGTACAGAGGGCTACCAATGTTTTTCATCACCTCCAAGAAAATCAGCGTAGACTTCAACATTTCCCTTGGTCTACTTCTCCTCTTTCTCATCCTGAAGGAACATGTATGCAGAGGAGAAATCTTTCCTGGCGTACCCCTTGTTACACATCACCCTGTAGATCTGGTGGGCCAGGGACCCCAGGGGGGTGGGGCTCTTCAGGGTGGTGGCCACATTCTGGGCCAGACCCAGGTCCTGGAAGTATGTGACAGCAGGTTATTTTTTCAGTGTTTGAAAATTTAACATTTGTTATTTATACCAGTTCATTTCACATCTGTACAGATATTCAAACCACTTACAGGTAAATATGTTTCCTAGTAAGGTGGTGTATTATATATTATTTAATTGCCTGCAAGCTCTGGAGAAAACCTAACTTGAAAACAAGTTCATTTGACCATGCCTTCACCTCTAGTTTGGTAGTGAATCTACCTCAAGCACAAGCACAAGAAAACCCAACTTAATCATGAGTCCAGTTGTGTAACTACCTTAGTCATGAGCTCAGTCGCAAAACTATCTAAACCACAAGTTCAAAAAGGAACATACTACTTAACCATGAGTTCAGTAGTGTACCTACCTTTACCATGAGTTCAGTGGCAAAACCTACCTTTACCATGAGTTCAGCGGCAAACCTACCTTAACCATGAGTTCAGTGGCAAACCCTCCCTGATAGTCCTTGGAGGAAGGGACCCCCTCCAGCACCCCGGGGACGGGGTTATAGGTGTCCAGGGACCAGCAGCGGGCAGAACTGGTACACAGCACATCCTTTAACACCTTGGGTTCCAGACCCAGTCTGAAAGTCAAAATAATACACATATTGTAGTATATATATATATTTCTAGTATCATTGGTCAGGTGGAGAACAGGTGGTAAGCAGAGGTGCAAAATACTTATTTCAATACTTTGGTTTTTACAACCAGTCTGGAAGATAGAACCTGGAGGTAATTTCAGAGTAAAATTATACAATCAGTGCTACTAGTTAAATGAACAGCTTGGGTGGTTAGTTTATGTTCCAACAGAGGGCAGAGCTCACATATAACAAAGTGTATATAGTTTTTAAACTTTCTTGACTGTATTCCGTAGATGCACTGTACATATACCATTTGCTAAATTATTCATGAAAACAAATCAACAACCCAAACGGCTTATGAGTCAGCCAAACTGAGAAAAGCGCGTGTGTGTGTGTGTGTGTGTGTGTGTGTGTGTGCATGTGTGTGTGTTCTTGCATACACAACTTACTTGATCCCCATATTCATGGTCTCTGAGGCCCCAATCATAGATATTGCCAGCATCATATTATTACACACCTTGGCTGCCTGTCAAAATAAGACCATATTTTATAATCGATATATTAAGAGGTGAGAATAACGACAAAATTATAACTGATTTCAATTCTAATGGTCTATTAACAAATTTTATTATTTCTTCCATCAAAATCTTTCAATACATCTCAGAAACAATCTGAAATCCTGAAAGTAGACCTTTAAAATATATTTACAATTCTGGTCAGAAATGACACACCACTTGTATCAATTGTGTTCACTGTGGCCATCAATTTCAAAGGGACTGTGTCTTTTTCTAGAAAAAGTCCACATTTCTACCAAGAAACCTACAAGTGTTCATAACACCTAAATAAAATTTTGATTCAACAAGGACCTTTTCTTGGGCCAGGGCATAGGGAGTTCAATCAAATCTCAAATCCCAGGCCTGATTCTAATTTTTCTGCTCTGCATTCCAATACTTTTAAAAGAATTTAAAAAAAAACAGCACATACCTTAGCAATTGGTATTATGACTCCTCTACAGGAATGGCTAGGCAAACACATAACCCAGAGGCTATATAAAAGTCTAATGTATGGAGAGCTCAAACATAAGATTTCTAGTGTTGCCTACCTCTCCGGTGCCCACTCCCCCACAGTGAATCACATTCTTCCCCATGTTTTCCAGTATTATCTTAGCGGCGGGGAATTCACTAGCTGGTCCTCCCACCATGAACGTAAGGGCACCAGACGCGGCTGCCAGAACACCTGTCAGAATAAACGAGGATAAACTGCTTTGACTGCCATGGAAGAAGTTGTTGCATAGGCATTCTAGGGTTTTGCTTAAGGTTCGGGTGAAAGGAGAAAACTTTTGAAGAACATAGCTCGTAAAATATAAAAGAGTAGGAAAAGATTTTTCTATTATATGTAGTTAACAAAGATGAAAAAATTCTTGATTTTGCCTTATTTAACTTGTTACATTGTTTTCTTATCTGAAAACAGTTGTATTTCCTTTATCCTCCATTATTTTAAACCAAGACCAATGGTTAATATGCCATAACGATCATGAATTTAGATCCCATTCCCATACCTAGATTGATCTAGAAGGATCTCCAAGGGGTTTCTTGCTAAATTGCTTTCAGCGTAAGCGCCTAGATGTCTGGCACTCCTACTATAAAGCTGCTAAATAATAGTTAATTAGCCCCAAACAGCTTCAGTAAGTGTGCCAGACACCAGAGCCACTTAAGATGAAAGCAATTTAGCAAGAAACCCCCTGGAGATGGGTCGATCCTGCTAGATCGATCTAGGTATGGGAACGGGTACATATACTTGGAAAATCACAAGTCTACCTCCTGAAACAGGAGCATCCATGAAAGTGGCATTTTTTTTACTGCACTGCTCAGCCATGTCAATGGACACCATGGGATCGATGGTACTGCTGTCTATTAGTAACGAACCTGGCTTCACGGTACTGAAAAATAAAGTGGATTTTTTATTAAAGATAAGCAATTTTACCGGCATGGCATAGGGAAATTTTGAAAATCTTACTGGCCTGGTATGGGGGTTGCACAGGCCCCCACTGTGACCCAGGAGCATAATTTAAGAAAATATATGCAAGTGATGCAGCACAACAAGAGCTTTAAAAGTATACACTAATACTCTCACATAGCTGGGCTAAGAATGTAAATTAACATGCATCAACTACTTCAATTAAGGATTCGAAGTATTCCAGTAGTGTTAGAAATTTTGACAGAGGTACTATTACAAGTCATCCATCATTAAGGAGAGATCTGTATTTTGACCATTAATGATTTACTCACATTGAAAGCTGTTAAAGTCTGTTCAGTGATTTATCAAAAAGCTTAATATGCAGATTTTAATGGTCTGTCAGTAGGAAATTTGGCATGTTGTAGAACATTGTTAACTGGTAAATTTTAATGTTATGACCATAACCATAAAAAATTTTGATGAGAGAGAGAGAGAGAGAGAGAGAGAGAGAGAGAGAGAGAGACCTCAGTATCCCTGACTTCCCCGTGTAGACCTCTATCACATGTGGATTGGAAGGCAGCATGGTCACTATGGTGTCCACTTCACTGGCCACAGCTGCTGGTGAACTGACCACATTGGCCCCTTTAGGGGGAAATACAGATAAAAGTTTGTTACATTGGGAAGTGCTTGGGTAGAAAGAAAAGAAAACAGGGAGGGGAGACAAGATGACGCAGAGGTTGACACGAACTCTAGGACACGGGACATAAATTGGTCTTTCTTGACATAGACAAGTGAACCCAACGTCTGATGTGATACATTCTGAACAAGTGCACATCCGTGAACGAGCTGATCGGGTGGAGAAAGTACAAATAAGGTGAATAACTGATATTTTTTAACCTTATCAAATAGACATAGTCTGCGCGAACGTCGCATAGTGGATGATACATACTGAAAACAGTAAATGATAATAATGAACTTCAGATTTATCCATGCATCTCAGGCATTTCAATCCCCTGTGTATCATTCTGGTATTCTGGTCATGTAAAATCCCTGTCTAAAGTTAAGTACTGCTGTTCAAAATGATAAAGAATACAGACTTTTACAACGGAAAACATGGACTCCTGTCACCAGTTATCACTTCTTCATAAAACTTTCAAAAAAAAAAAATTATTTTGCTAAGACTAAGACTAAGTGCAAACGTATCCTGAATTAATGCACACCAAAAACTGGTCACAAAATTATGACTGGCTTTTGGTCTCTTAAATTATTTAGTTAAACCGAGCTCCTAATATGCCAATACTTAATCTTACACACCTGCCTTCCTTAGGTCTTCCTTGGACTGCTCTGAGACATCAAACACTGTGACACTGTAGCCATTCTTGATGAGATTCTTTGCCATGGGACCACCCATATTGCCCAGACCTATGAAACCAACTGGACTCTTCGACTCAGACTGAGGAAATATGAAATCAAAACTTGTCCACCTTTGACAGAAAAGTACTGTCCAATGTGTAAAAAAAACTTGAAAAGTTTATTACTTATTAATGATAATGACATAAATCAGTCTTTTGCTCTTAATTGTAATCTGTACCAAAAGCAACTATTTTGTAGTCTTGTATGAGATGTAGCCAAAATCACAGAAGATATACAGATGATGTTATGAAAGTCATCCCCTATTTAAGTTTCTCTAGTCATGGAGAATTTAATGTACTGATGTGATTCTTTTAAAAGTGTTATAAGTACTTCAAACTTATAACTCTTTAATTTTTTTTTTTTTCATGCAACTCATTCAACTGTGGCAGCTAAAAAGTTTTTGGTACTCACATGTCTCACTGATTGAACTGAAATAGAAGAATAATGCACATGTACAGACAGCTTAGTACTCATTTCAAGTACATGTTAACAAGTCACTAAAAAATTACTAAATTAAATGCACGAATATCTACATGCATTGCTTGTCAGCTAAAACTTTCAGATTTGATGAAAGTTACATTCAGCCTGTAACGTGTTCAGGTCAAGAACTTATTTACCCATACACCTTTCTATTGGGCTTAAAAGATCTTCCGGCAGAGAGTTCTAAGAAAAAAATCGCAATAGTCTGTAACTGATGACTGGGGACTGGCTTCAGTTTATTTGACATTTCAGTTTATCTTCGTATAAAAGTACAATGAATTGCTTCAGGCCTGTACAGTACTATAGCCAGTAGTTTCAAAGGTGAGGGGGGGGGGGGGTCTTTCTTCTGAAAAAGTGGACCTTTCACTAGTAACCTTCCCAGATCAAATTGTACCCAGAGTGGACCTTTTCCCAGCAAAAAGAGTGGTTCATACCCCCACCCCCACCCGTGATTGGCTACAGGCCTGATATATTTGTTCTTTCATTTTCTAAATAAAAACACCTGAACAGTGAACTTGCTTAAAACCAGCACTCTCAGTCTTACTGATGATTCTAATATGAACTGGTGGTGCTAACCACAGCCAGTTCATATCAGAATCGTCAACAAGAGTGTTAACGCATGGACTTTCGTGCTAAATGTACTAAAGTATTCACTGGTTCTACTTACGGAGTGAGATTGTAGATCACTGTGTATTGTGTCTCAATTCTGATTATTTTTTGTCGTCTGTACCGTACACGTCTGCACGGTAGCTGTGGTTGAGTTGTACTCACCGGGATCAGGCAGGGAAGTTGGGCTCTCCACCTGGTGTGCGCAGTACTTACCGTAATAGCGCGTTCTCCGCGCAGGGAGAGCACACCGGGTGAAGGTAGGAAAATGCACGAACACAACATTCCCCCAACTTTTATTTGAAAGGAGCTAATTATAAATACATGTTTGTCCATGTACAAACTTAAAATTCCTTTCGATAAATGAAATAAAGTGGATTCCAGTTGAAATATTCGTACAGACTGCCATTAGCTGTTAGTGCTAACAACATCACCGAGGTGATAGTCCGCCGAAGAAAAATACAAAAAATAAATAAACAGCAGAACAGACTGTAATGAGCTGTTCNAATCATGACTACTGCTACCCAATGTGATATCTGCTGTCATTACGTTTGCAAATCTTTGAGATGAAATGACACAGCGACTTTGTGTATACTGCTGATCTCTCACTTCAATATTTAGCCAATGCACTGTGAACATAAAGAAAGAAATTGTGAAAAGAGAGGCACCTGGGCCCCGTAACTCTGAAGCAGTGCATATATATATGTGAATATAGCGATATCACATGGAGGCAACAGTGTATTGTGTGTGGCGACTATGGGCAAGTTATGGAATTGAGATGCTTGCGCTCGGTCGCAATGCGCGATGCTTTCCAGTTACGGGACCCTGGACTCGGTAAGCAGTCAACTCGAAAGCATGGCGTATTACGCTCGTGTGCAAGCGTCTCTATTCCATAACTCAGCATTTACTCCCCCCATATAATAGCCTCGAAATGGAAGGTGATATCGCTATCACAATTAGCAATGCTTACGAGCTATGGAGCCTTGGTAACACAATGAGGTGCCCGTGTGAACAAGAAGGGTATTTACATGTCAAAGAATGTAACAAATAAATCACTGGGCATAATATAAAGGTATTATTTTGCTTCAGGGAGGGTGACAGCTACTATGCTATTCCATGCCATGAAGATGCAGTGCTACAGAAGCTGGTTGTGTGCAGCATCTCTGGCAGGCGCAAGAAGAGTCCGACAACCACCTAGTGTCAGGAGTTATATACAGCACATCAGCCAGCAGAAAAGTAAGGAGACATTGCTAGGTAGTTTAAATCCAACATTTATATATATATATATATATATATATATATATATATATATATATATATATATATATATATATATATATATCCACCTTTTCTATAAAGTTATCTTTTTTCTTTCCTCTTTTTGTCTTTTTCATTTGTAGAGCATATTTTTTAATTTCACAAAAAATGGAAAACAATGAGATTTTTTTAAAAAACAATTTTTACAAAATCAATTCAGGTTAAACTTTGTCATTGCTTTGAGCCTTTCGTATTATTATGATTATTAGACATATTGAACAATTGCAGGAAACATTTACTGGACCATGTTAAGTGATGTAGGCTGTTACTGTATTCCTCTGGTCCCTCTGCATTGGTATATTTTAGCCAAATGCTTGGTGGAAATTCTTAGCAAATAAATATGTTATACTAGTAAAAACGATTATTTTAAAAGACAAATCTGGCATTGATTTGTTCATTAATTCTGGATCTTAACAGAATTTCAGCATAGAATAAACTGAAGAATGAAATGTGTCAATCTTTGTTATACAGGTAGACCATTAAGAAACTACCAGAAGAGATGGAGCATGTTACAGTCTTGCCAGGCAGTCAGTCACTACTGCACCTCAAAACAACCCACGGAGGGGGAAACCGTTAAGGCACAGTGGGAGCCAGATGGTGCTACGTCCTCCACCAAAGAAGCTGGATTCTCCCATATACCAGAGATGCCATCAGAGTATGTTATACAGCATTCTGAACAAGGGGGCCTCTGGAAACATTGCACATCAAAACCAGTGAAAAGAGAAGTGCTCTTTTTTTTTTTTGTTTGTTTGTTTATTTGATTGACATAAAAATTTCTCTAATTGTCTTTGGGCAAGACAACATGTTGTATTCTTAGAAAGGCATTTTATGCTTCTTCCATAAACCTGTATTCAGTTATCATGGTGGTTAAGTAAGGAGATCAGGGGTTTCCCTAGGATGTGGGGTACAGGGAGTCCAAACTACCAATACACTGTCATTCCTCAAAAATTTCATAAGTCATCCAGCTATCTTTGAAAATTTAGGTCCTCCTTTGAGGACAGTGGCTGTCCAAATGATGGCTGGACAGCTCTCTAGAGAAAGTCTTGAAGGAGATACTGTTTGCAAAAGTGTTAATTTAATGATATTTACGCTGTTTAATCACATTGCCTAGAAGGCAGTCCAGCTTCCTATCTATATACTAGAAAGTCCTTGTATTGGTCATTGTCTAGTTGGTGCGATACAGTATATAAGGGTTAATATTGGATATGTTTTGTTTTACCCTGAGCTCCTAGAGAGAAAAATGATGAATAACTAACAGCTAGAAAAAAGTAGATTGATTTGCAACTTTTAAATCTATTCTTTACAGCGCTGATAATGCAATCCAGGAACAAGCCGTAATGGTGGGAGAAAATGAAGATGGAATGGGGGAGGCTTTACTTGCTTCTGAGGTAGAGGTCTCGAACCATGAGACTGCTGGTGTGAAGTCACCAACGAAGAAAAAATGGGCAGCAAACAAAAAATCTGGAGTGCCAAAGAGCTCTGCCACTGGCACAAACATAAAATCTACATTAAAAAATCATGAAACCCTGTTGAAAGGAATTAGGTCAAAAGTGAAGACTATTCTCTACCAGGCAGAGGGTTCGGTTGACACTGAGGCAGAAATCAATGATCTCCAAGAGAAATGTGATAAGCTTTTCTCTTGGTTAACTGAAGAGAACAAGAAAATAGAAATGAAAGAAAGATCAACAGTAGCCATGGAGTTTTTGAAGGTATTGGCTGCTTTTGGCAAATGAGAAATTTATTTTCCCAGATAACCAGTTCATATTTACTTTTTTGATCCATGTTTTTTTTTTTAGGTGTGTGGAATGTTTTATGGTATTCTTAAGTTTGCTTGCTTTGTGCACAAAATATCATCAAAATTAGATTGGGATCATACATTTAAAATTAAACTGATGGCTGATGTTTTATAAATTATCAATTTTTTCACTGTTTGTGAAAGTTTTCATCTATTTATTTTCAATATCAGCTTAAAGGGAT